TGTCATCTTTTTAAAAGTTCCCGTGTCGTTTCCTTCAGTGGTTCTTGGTGCAGCGCCCCCTCAGGCGAGGAGGGGAACAGGTTGCTCAGAAGGTTCTGTTGGTTGGACCCAGAGCAGAGTGGAAGAGAACCACAGCAGCTGGAGATGGAACAAATGTTGCAACACGTACCCCCAGCTTGCTCCTGTTTCTGACCTTTGACCTGTCTGTCTGCAGGCGTGGACCAACATGGTTCTGACTCTCCTGAACCAGGTCCTGCTCCTGTCGGACTCCACCTTCCTGGCGCTCCAGCCGGCGCTCTACCCGTGCCTCAGCCAGCTCTCCTGCCACGTCACCGACGCGCGGTCCGCCATGCGCTGCGCGAGTGGCTCGGCCGGATCGGCAGACTGTATGACATCATCATGTGACATCACAGGGGTGGACGAGGTGTGGCTGAGTGAAGGACACACGGCGAGGGCGTTGAGAGAAAGAAATGACCCTTTCAGAGAGAGACGACTGAGGAACTGCTGATTAAATGAATGAAGTTTGTAAAGAGTTGTTTGTACGATGGAGAGCATTTAAATATAAATGTGCCATTTTTGCTCTGGTTTCTTGTTAATGTCTGATTTTCTGAATGGCTTTTATTTATTTCATAATATTCAGAGCTCTTCTGTTTTTGCTGGTACATTTTCCTGGTCATCTTGATGCCGTCTGTGTTGTGTTGCTGATTCATATTTATTGTCATATTGTGATGCTTCCTTGTGCATCGCAGCATTCCTCTGACTTTTTCCGCCTTTTATTACGTATTTTGTAGATTTCTCAAAGTTGCAGCAGTCAATAGAAATGTGGATTCATGTTGCTGCTGCTGAAACAGAGAAAACAGCTTATTTGCTTTAAAACAAAAATGATAAAATAATATTTAAAAAAATCCACTGGGTGCCTTTGGGGGAGGATTTAATAAGCTGTAGCTTATCATCATTTCTGTTTTTAGTCAGTTACCAGGAAGTTTCCGCTTCAACTAAGATCCAGCTTCAGTCTTTGGACCACAAACATTTCATTTCAGAATCAAGCAGGCGACTTATTGTGGATTTAATCCGATTGTGTTTGGTCGTCTCTTTCTAGCTTCGGCTCTTTGTGTCTGTCTGTAACGCTGAATGTCTCTGGAGGTATTTACTTAAACCAAATACAACATGAATCCGTACGGATTTATGGACTCTTCTTGAATTCTGCAATGTTTTTACGCTTCTTCTCTCACTGTGAAGATCATTTTGTTTGACATGTGAGAAATGTGCAGCTGGTTACTGTTACTGCTGTCACTGTTTGTTCCTGGTTTGTCTGCAGCTGAATCTCTGAGGGCTGAAACCAAAAGCTGCAGGTTAACAGAATCTCCTGAAACGTGTTCAGCATCTTCTGTTCCTGAATGTCTTCATTTAAAATACAACCAGATAACGCTGAATGGTCCAAGCGCAGTCTTGTCTTCTTTATAAAGGAGTAAAATGTGGGTCCAAGACAGAGATGATTATTGAAAATGATGCTCTGTAGTGTGAATCTGGAGTTAAAAGTTTGTGTCCAGGATGTGTGGGATCTGCAGAGATGTTTTTCCTGGCCATGTTAAGACGGCTCCAGTAAAGATCAGGCAGTTTTAGCTCAGTTTGGTCTTGGTGTGCTGCCATGGGGCCATGTGTTGATGTTGGATCATGAGAAGAGTTGGAAAGTTGGAAACTCACCGGTCACACCATCTGACCTCTTCATGTCCACAGCTGGCTGCCAGCTCTCAGCTCCTGTAACGTCCTCAGTGGTCTGCACACATTGTGTCCAGCATCATGTCCAGCATCGTGTCCATTGTGACTCCTTTAGTATATGATGGGCTCTACTGGGACTAGTTTCCACAATGACAACTTACACCAAAATCTGAGGCCCTCACATCATTGTTAGTGTTGAGGAGGAAGACGGTCAATCAGAGACTCATAACAACAATCACAGTTCAACTCTGAAAAAATAACTTGCATCTTTCTGTCCTTGCCTGGATGTTTCCTTCTAACATCATTTTCTTGCATTTGTATCCTTGAAATTGGGTTTTGTAAATTTGCCCAGACGGCCGGTTTTAATCCAGGGTGTCTCTGGTCTCTTAGTAAAGACTAGAGACAGTTGAGACAATCAGCCTCTGCTCATCCTTTCACCGTCTGCTCTCCACACAACACGCTGTGACCTCATTTTTTGATTTGGATCCAACTGTTCCCACAAGCTGCATAGAATAGTTTCACAAGATAAGTCTACAGAGAAAACTACTCTAAGCTGGAGCAGCGCTGACCTCCATTAACACCAAAGTCCACTTTAGGATAGATTACGACAGAGGCGTGCTGCCCTGATGCGAGCGGCATATTGAGGACAGGAAGGCCAGTCGCTTTCTGATTCTCCTCGGGAGATTTACTCTTTTCACTCACTTCATCAGTTTGTCCCGTTCATTTCTAAATACTTTCTCATTCTTCATTTGCTGCATTTGTTCCAGTTTTCTCTGACTGATAAAGGCTCAAACCCAACCGATTGGTGTCAAGTCAGTTTTTATTGGGCTGTTTGTCCAAACCATCCACCTTCAACTATTTATTTCAGAATCAGTTTATAATTTGGATTCCTTTTATTTCGAAACTAAAACTAATTTTGAATGTAAAAACAATGTGTGGCTCTCTTACTATAATATCTCCAGAAGAAGTTTGTCTTACCCGGTAAAACTCCAGTTAGCATTGAGACGCCTTGTTGAGTCCGACAGACTCTCTGACTCCCTCTGATGTTTTGCAACTAAAATCAAATCAAGTGTCTGGAGAAATAACTGCAGGATGAAGAACATTTCAGGGACCTTACAGGTATTTGGTGTTTGTCCAAAAACCACAGTTAGACTTAACAGAACATATAAAACATAATGGTTAGCTGATGTTAATAAATTAGAGACTTATAAAAGTTTTGTTGAGCATCTGAGTGAAAGTGATCACAAAGTGTTTCACTGCATAAATTGCTTTTCATCACCAAAAGCTATGAAACCATCTAACTGACCTGCAAGGATGAAAAATCCATCCGTCTGTTCCTGTGATTACAGACTGAACAACAGCAGTCAGCTGGATGTTTTCTTTGTCTCTCCGTCTCTTTCTGTCCCTGCCAGTGTCCCTGACCTGTCCTAATTCCAGCTGTCTGAGGGCGAGCAGCAAGTGGACAGATGTTGTGAGCCATCAGTGTGATCAGCAGTGAACAGAAAGGATTTAGTTGGTGTTAAGTCCATGACTAAAATAAAGCTGTTGACTAATGTGTCTGTGTCACGCAAACATTCATCACAAACTGATTTTCCTTCCTCCTGCTTCACCTGATTTTTATTTTTTAAATAAGCCAGGATATTTGTTTGTGCTCTTCTGAGTTTTTTTAGTTAAATGTGTGGATTTCACACATTTAACCTAAAGCTTTGGCTGGAAGCTTCAGATCTTGTGAATGCCCCAAACTGAACATCTGTCCAAACATCATCTGTCCATTTTATCTGCAAAATTATCAGCATTTTGCTTGGAAAGCTAATTTTAACTCTTCCTGTAATAAATAGAGTCATCAGTAGTTTGGTGACTTCAGTGACAGATTAGTGGAACTGAAAAAGCAAAGTCTGACCTCATCTGCTTTCATTGAATGGAGATCAGACTTTAGTGTTGCTGGGCAGATGCAGCAAACTGTTTCATGATTGGCTGGGTTGTTGATAGATGATGGTTCTGATTACAGGAAGGAAATCTGTCTGGTAATCGAGGAGCAGTTGGAGCTGACCTGGTGTTTGACACGGCCAGACAAAGTATTTATGTGACCCAGACATGTGGCACAGTTTCTGAAGTGGACGGTTCCGGTACTGAGGGTCAGAAACATCCTGAACCAACCAAACTGGTATTTTGAGTCTTTCTAATCCACACCATGTTTGTAATCTTTTAATCTCATCCAATAAAGAAAGAAAAACTTTATTTCTGGATTTCTATAAATCTACAGCTGAAAGAATAAGTTTTATGAGGTGCAGAAAGTAGTAAGAGATTTTTTGTCTTGTTCTGTATTTGGAAATATAAGAATAATAATTAACAATTTTTATTCAAATATTTCAGCAAGATTCTTTAAATCCCCTCACATCCGTCCCTCCTTTTGAGATCAGGTCACATCATTTCTTTCTCCAGCGACGCTGGAGTTTGGATGATTCCAAACTGTTCCTGTCCTGAAGGAAAACTACTCCTTCACTGAGTCCTTCTGACCTCTGCAGTGTCTTTTCCTGTGATTGTATCGGAGGATGAGGACCAGGAGTCTCCAGACGTTGCTCCCGATGCCCAGATCCAGTTTTATTCATGATCACTGGAACTCAGACAGATCAGGACAGAGAACATGGATGGAGCTGAAAGCTAAAGCTGCATCATCATTCACAACACGGCATCCTTTTACAGAAAAAAGTTTTGATCAAACAGTCCATCAGGTTCAGTTCATTACTCAAAGTAGTTTTCAATTGAAGGTTTTGGTCTCAAACAGCAGTCAGACCTTAAGGACCTGCAACCTTCACATGACTTTCTGCTCCAGCACACTGGAGTCCAATATGAGCTCATCAGTAGAGTGACTGCATGCCAGTGAGACAGTTTGTGATAAAGATGGAGGATAAAGGACACATTTAAAAGTTGTAGGACTGATCTAAGGAAACCCAGCAGGTTGATTGAGTCATTGATTTGCAGCATTCACTGCTGGACATAGTGACAGACACCAGCGTTGTGTCCTTGACTTTGCAGCAGTTCCTCATACCAAGCATGCATGTAGCGATGGTGGAGGAAAGATTCCCCTTGAACAGGCAGAAACCTCCAGCAGAACCAGAACCATCGAGTTTTCAGCTCAACCAGTTTGAACAAACTGGTTTTAACAAAGATCCTAAAAAATCCACATTAAAGTTGTTTGTTTTGATTCAAATCTGCTTTTCTGTTACAGGACTGGATTATTTCTGGACTTTCTGCAATTCAAAACATCATATTTTTGTTTAAAGTGGATCATTTGCATTGATTGATCAGGATGAAACTTGAATTGAATCCAGATTATCTGCCCATCAGAACCAGTGACGTCTGCTTCTCTCCTCTCCTGGATGCTCTCTCTCTGTCTGCTGCCCTCATTTCTCTCCTCCCACTCATCACCGTTTATTTCAGCCTGATCACTTCGCCGCTGCTCGCAGTGAAACCCTCCCAGCTGAGAGCAGACGCCTTCTCCGCTGCGTCTCTTTGCTCCACCTTTACTTTCCGCTTGCTGTGGCCTCTGGTTTCAGGACTTTGGATCCTCCTCCAGCCCACCATGCGGTCTCTGCTGGAGAGCAGCTGGTTGAGGTTTGGACCTGCAGGTCGGGACTCTCTGGACTGGTCCACTGTCCCATCACCGCTGCCGTCCACTGACAGACAGGCTACGGTGAGTCCATGCAGTCAGAGCGATGCACTGACTGCTGCTTCTGCTTTACACTGGTGGTGTTTTAAATGAAAAAATCCTAATGAACCACAAGTAAGAATTTAAGAGTTTATTTTCCAGGAAAGAAAAATTCTCCAATTTAAATCCAAAGATTGAAACCTTTTACTGCTGCTGTTTTCCTGTAGAGCAACGTTTCTCATCTGAATGATTTGTTTCATCTGTTTGGTTCTGGTTTCAGAAAATCAAGGCAGCAGAATGAGCAGACACATTTACTTTAAAAATACATATATCATAGTCAAATTTCCACATAAAGTATCTCCTATGTTAAATGTAACAGTTAATTAGGCTGTTATTGGATTACATTACTCTGGAACATTGAAACAAATTAGTTTTTACATTTATATTTATATGTCCTAAACTTTATCCTAAACAATTTATATTTTAAGAAGTAAATTATTCTCTTTCTTAGATTGTAAAAATCATTTTATAATTAAAACATTTTTAAAACATAATTTAGACAAATACCTACAGATTTACTCAACATCAAGACAAGGATTTATTTTTCTACCAACCAGAACACCATCAATATTTAAATCAATTAGGAAATCATAAAGAAGAACAGATGTTCTACTTGTAATCCTCCCAGTTTACATCTGCAGATTAACGTCTAAAGAGGACAAAGTAAATCTGTGACTTACAGCGCCCTCTAGCGGCCAGATGCTGTCTCTCTATCAGACAGATGAATGTATGTATGTGTGGACATGTGTGTATTTACGTGTGTGTGCATGACGTGATTGTTTTCTGGTCCTAACTGTGTCTGGCTCTTAGGGTCAAGGTTCAGGTGAAGCCATCATCAGCACCAGATCCATCACCTACATCGCCATAGGAACGGCTTCCTTCCTCGTCCTTTTTGTGAGCATCCTTGGCTTTCTGATCTGTCGGCGCCGGCGGAGCTTCCGCCTGGACGGGAAGCTGGATCTGGCCAACGTGATCGCCCTGGAGGATCTGCAGGACCCGGAGAGGAACTGCGAGCTGCTGTCCTCCCTGCGCCGCAGCCAGTTTCCCAGCAGCAGCTCTGAACAGGATGTGTCAGATGGCGTGTTCCTCATGGTCTACCTGCCCCCGCCCTATGAGCAAACCCTCACCAGGATCGCCAGGGCGGCCAGCACAAGCAGCTCCAAGGACGTGGAGCTGCTGCCATCCAGTCCTGGACCAGAGACGGGAGAGACAGAGAAAGAAGGGATGGGAATGAATGATGAAATCGTCCTGAAGGAAGAAAATATGACTGAATAAATGTGAAATAAATAAGAGGACAATAAAAGACAGAATTCAACAATAAAAGAGATTCATTATACAAATTATTTCTTCTCTCTAATGCCTCTTGGTGAGCCAGACTTCTTCAGGAAGGTCACATGGTAGAAGAAGAGGTCACTGCTCCTGTGCATTGAACATAATTCGGCTGATTCAGAACACACCATCAGAACATCGATCCGTCGATCAGTCGATCAGTCGATCCATCAATCCATCGATCCATCAATTCATCGATCAGTCGATCCATCGATCCATCAATTCATCGATCCGTCGATCCATCGATCCATCAATTCATCGATCCGTCGATCCATCGATTCGTCGATCCGTCGCTGCATCGATCCATCGATCTGTCAATCCGTCAATCCATCGATTCATCGATCCGTTGCTTCATCGATCCATCGATCCATCAATTCATCGATCCGTCGATCAGTCGATCCGTCGATCCATCGATCCGTCGATCCATCAATTCATCGATCCGTCAATCCGTCGATCCGTCAATTCATCGATCCGTCGATCAGTCGATCCGTCGATCCGTCGATCCATCGATCCATCGATCCATCAATTCATCGATCAGTCGATCCATCGATTCATCGATCCATCGATCCATTGATCCATCGATTCATTCGCTGTTGAAAGGGACACTGCCACGGTTTCCCTTTAGATGACAATTTAAAACACACAAACAGAACCATGAACTAGAACTTCCTCCCTCTGTAGAACCGACTGAACCCAGATTTACAGGTTAAAAAGTTGAAACATTCCTCATTCAAAAACACCAGCAGAAAAATCCCTGCTACATTAAGGCTTGTAAAAATGTAAATCTGCACAAAAGAGATTCTATTTTTTACATTTCTGGTTTATCTGTTTTATTAGCTGTAGCACGGTTGTGTTTTTTACCTTTGAACTTTCCTGCTCTTGTGTTTGAACAGAACCAGCTGGACTGAATGTTACAGATCAAGGTGATTATTTGTATCCTGTCTTTGAAGACTAATAATAAAGAAAGCTTAAAGCATGTGGTAGCATCTCATTTATTCAGCTTAAGTTTCATGGCATTGAAATGAAACAAGGACACAAAAAAACTGCGACTGTAAAACAAAAATGACGTTTAATGGTTAAAATAAGGACAACAGAAGACAACAGGAAATGGAGCAGAAACATTCAGGGCTGAACAAAGAAAAACAAGAAGCTTTAATATTAACAAAATGATGGCAAATGACATTTGAGTCGTGTTTTGATGATGCGGGCGATGATGATGTCCAAAAAGATCAACAACATTCGGCTCAGAAAGGAAAACATCTGATAGCAGCAAGAAGAGACAAAGTCATGGGGAGATTTCAATCAGTTTCTGTCAGTCATCTTATTTCCATCAACATTTCTGTGCACCTTTTGGAGTATTGCACGGGTAAAGTTGATGGAAAAAGAAAAATTTGAACTAATATCCTCAGTTTTTTTTACAAGTGTTTATGCTGAGGTGTTTCGTTTTTACGTGTCTCCTGGCTAAAGGTGATGGAGATGCAGCTAATATCAGTGCATGGATCAAACATGTCGTCACATGGTGTCCTGTTAGCCAATCGAAAGTCCCACTTCTAACCGAATACATCTTAATTGTTGTTTATACTAATTTGTTTTCCATTCTGTATTTTTAAATGTATGATAGTTATAGCACATATCACCATCAACTCAGAATCTTTCAACCTATTTTTGGTTTAAACAGGAGTGAATACAAACCTGTACATGTCACATGTTTTAATATTAAATAAATTCCCACTGAAACTGAAACCTTACATGTTTTTATAAAATATGAGAAAACATAACAATGATTCATTTGCAAGGCACTCAATTAAAAAACCTTTATTATTTAGTTGAGCAGCTGAAGAAATTTAAAAAAAAATTATTTCATTTATTTCCAGGTTGACTTTGGGCACTTTTACTTTAAGTCAAATAAATGTAGCTTGTTTTAGATTTTGAACCTAAATGTGTGAGTTTGTGAAACAGTAGAAAGTTGTGTTAACTTTTTACAAATGTTGTCAAACCTCCAAGAGTTGAATAAACTAGAACACTTAAAAAAGACAGGAGTGGAAACTTCAATTTCTGTTTAAAAACTAACACAAATTTCTTGTGCATAATCTTGGCCCGGCTTTCCTCACTGAGCTTCTTCACCCTTCCATACCTGATGGGTCTCTCAGGTGTGCAGCTCAGTTGCTCCTGGAGGTACTGAGATCTAGAAGGAAGCTCAGAGGGGACAGAGCTTTCTCTGTCGGGGTCCTAAGTTATGGACTGACCTGCCTTCACTGTCCACTTTTAAAGCTCGTCTTAAATCTCATCTATTTTACTTGGCTTTCCGCTCCAGTGAGATCTAGTTTTACATTGTATGTCTGTTTGCTTTAAACTGTAAGAGTTTTTATCTATTTTCTGTACAGCTGTGGTTGTTTTAAAGGGCTTTATAATTAAAGTTGGTATAATATGGTTGACTTCAATTGCATTGAAGTAGGCAGCAAGTGGGCTTTCATTTTCAAGTTAAGCCACCTGTTTTACATACTTTAATATTGACTTGTGTTCTTTGTACACATAGATACGTAAATATTCATCTTCTACTGCTGTCGTGTTTAATAATTATTTTCACATTAACCCATTTAATACCACATTTTTTTCCTGCAAAATAAGTGCATGCATTTCAATCCTTGGTCCTCCCTAACTCATGATATTTATGAATTATTACATTTCATGCAACAATAGTGGCCGGTGGGAAGTTAGTCTAAATTACCCAAATGTGGCCTATTTATACATATTAAAAAATAAGAAAAATCATGACATGCATAACCGAGTACAACAAACAATGATTACAAGTGTCTTCAGAAATATTTTAGATACATAGAGATTCAATGCTTCGTCCTGCAGATGTCATTGCAATGGCCGAGTGACCTTTGACCTCATTTAGTCATTAATGAGGCAAAGTCAGGTGAAAATGTTAGTATGAACAAATCTGCATCTGGGAGGAAATTCTCATAGATCAGCAATTTTCTCTTTATCAGGAAATTATTTCGCAGAATCTGGGTTATTGTCTCTTTTAACTGTTTGCTTGGATTAGGCTTAAAATGTGCAAATCCTCTATTTTCTATAATACAGCAGTGTGACCTCTTTCCAGGTTCTTGTAAACTCACATGTAGGATTTCTCTCTTGGAAAGTTAAACAGGTTTTCATGTCCCTCGGAGGTCAGCTGCATAATCGTCACATAAACCAAATATAACTATGAAAAATGCATAAAATAAAATCTGGGCCCACAGATTCTAGTTTGCTTTACATGGAATAAAGAGCTTAACGTTTTCTCTTTTAATTTGTTCTTAAAACATGCTTTCAGTTAATCTGTAACATGAAGAAGTTTGGGTTTAATTTCTGTTATGCACTTCATGCTCAGTGTGTTTACATGTCTGTGTGATTGTGAATATTCATGGTATATGTACATGAACCTGTTTGTTTAAAGACTTTTTGAGTTGTATAAATTTATAAGTAAAGCAGGAATGGTGAAAATATTAATGTTAACATGCTATCCTACTGTTAATAATGATAAGAAGGACAATGAGAATGATTAAATAAGTTTTATTCACACCCATTTTTCCCAAGCTTTTTTTTCGTAATAAATGAAATCACCTTTTAAAAGCAGTTTTGTGATTTACTTTCTGTTTATGTCTGTTATAAAATAGTTTGATGATTTGAATAATTTGAGTTCGCCAAAAAAGCTGGAGAAAAAATCTGGCCTGAAGTTAATTTTTGTAGCACTGCACATATATTTACGATGCAATATTCATAAGAACAGAGAAAGTACAAGCATCAGAGGTCAACATCTTACAATAAAACACAAGTAAGAACACAGATCATTTTTAACAGTACAAAAGACGTGAAGAGAGCTGTTTATATAAAATGTAGTTTACAGACATATAATTCTGATCCCTATTGCAAAAATCAATAACCAGATGGTATTTTCATTTATAAACCATTCTGACAGCATTTTAATCATAAATGTTCTTAATTTGTTATCAGTCTACATGTAGCCTTAACTTGCAAAGAATTGGCTGAGGAAGGTGTATCACTCATTAGACCTCAAACCTAAATATGTCACAACCGCAGTAACTCGAAAACAAATGAACAATTTGTATGTCAACCATTGAGTACGGTGCAGAAGGCAAGAAATTAAGACTCAACACAGGAACACCGAGGAACCCGGTAGGACTGTAAATCCAGGATACAAGGTATCAGTGAATGCGGTGTTGAAGGTGTGGATGTGGATTAGAGAGTCAGAGGAAACTTTGTAAAAGGACAGACTACCAGCAGTGTAGTCTACATAGACTGCTACTCTGTTAGAAACAGTGGGAAAAGAGGTTGATGACATGAGTTTCCTGTTCTTATAATGAACGGCGCTGTAACCGTCATCAGAGCAACTCAAACACCAGGAGTCTTCATTCTTTCCACTCACAGAGTCATTAGTGAGTCCTCTCCTTCGGAGTCCTCTATAACTTACTGATATCTCTATTTTTCCTCTCCACTCAACCTCCCAATAACAACAATCTTTGATACCATTTCCACACAGCAGCTGAGGAATATTTCTTCTGTCTAGATCATCAGTATCTGACTGAGCTTTCTGAATATTTGTCACCTTCCTGTCATTGTTTGACAGCTGGAAGTTTTGGTTGATTATATCTCGGTCAAATGTCAGCTGACATGAATCTGATGGAGAGAAAAAACAATTTGAGTGCAGTTACTGGTTTATTATGTGACAAATTTATTGATACTTTGATATATGGTTGTGGATGAGTTGATTTTATGTCATGAATCAACAACAGAAACAAACTTACATCTAAATGGTCCTGGTTTTAAATATCGGTTACCAGCAGGCTCCACCCTGAAAGACAAACGAATGAGTCAGCATTCTCAGTCAGCTGAGAATGCTGACTGAGAATGCTGACAATATATCTATTTATATTTGCAGTTTTTTTAAAACTGAAAACATATATAAAAATGAATTATTTTTATATGTTTGTGGGTGTGTCCATAGCTGGACAATACAGTCCTCCTCGAGACTGTGAGCTTTCCTGTTTTTGTAGTGGCAGAAAAAAATCTGCTGCTTCAGTGACAAGTAGAACAAACCTGTCATCTTCAGCGGTCGGTTTAAGGTCTTGCCATACCTCAGTGTTTCAAGTCTCCAATGTGGATCTCTCTGTCCAGCCCAAAGCATTTTCACTCCTGAGTCACCTGGATGATTGTAGCTCAGATCCAACTCTCGAAGATGATGGGGGTTTGATTTGAGTGCTGATACCAGAGAAGCACAGCCATCTTCTGTGATCAGGCAGCCTGACAAGCTGCAATAACAGAATCAATAAACATAATTTAATATCCTGGTACTCCATCTTACAAAAGTATTAATACTCTATATAGTTTAGTGTTGGGTCGAATTTTGAGAGAGAAAGACTAAAAAACTCTACACTGCTGATTTATTTTGTTTTTGACAAAATCTACCCTTTATGTTCTTTGACAGAGTTTTATTTCTAAAACTCTAAAATCTATTAGAGTTTTGTCTTTTATTTCACACTATTCACACACTGTTTGAGAAGACAGTATACTGTAAAACAATAACACATCACAAGTTCATTTTGATCATTTTTCTTATGGAGAAATTGTTCATGTGAATTATTTTTTTCCAAAATGCCAGCCAGACATTTTGAGGCGTGGGAGTTTAAAGGGTAATCTTAAGACACACACTCATTTCTTTATACACTTTTTAGTTCAAACATTAAGTAAAACTGTGCTTTGAAATTTTTGAAGGAACAAGCAGGAAAAAGAAATTTCCAGTGTGTATTTACCATTTACACATTACATAAATGGTAAATACACAACATGTATAACATTTATATATGTTATAATATCTAACATTTAAATGTTATATGTTATACATAGAGAAGAAATCCTTCATGAACAGGAAGTCAGATCCAGGTTTCTGATACTTACATTAGTTTCTCTAGTTTGCAGTTTGGACTCTTCAGTCCATCAGATAGAAACTTCACTCCTGAATCCTTCAAACTATTGCCTTTCAGGTCCAGTTCTTTGAGACGTGAAGACTGGGACCTGAGAACTGAGGACAGAGCTTCAAAGCTTCTCTCTGAAAGGTTGCAGTTACTCAGTCTGAGGAATGACAACATAAATGTCATCAGAATTAACTTTTTGTCTAGACTAGCTGATTGGAAATAAAAATAAAATTACATTAGCATTGTGCTTCACATTTAGAATTATGAATGAAGTATGCAGTTTGGTTTAGTAAAATCTGTCTTAATCTCTTTTCCAATGACATGTTGGAGTACTGCCAAAAAGTGTGCAGTTTTTTACAACCAACATTATGTTTTTAAACAGGCATGCCACTTAGAGCACACCATATAAAACCTTCTAAAGTAATCCTGCATGTAAACCTTCATGGGCTGAAGGTTCTCCATCGAACAACACAATGACCCAAAGCACACAGCTAAAATAACAAAGGAGTGGATTTGCAACAACTTTTTTCCAGCTACTAAAGAATGGCAAAGTCTTTATATCAATATGAATCTTTTGACAAAACTACCAATTTCAAAGCTTACAACAATGACTATATTAAAGTTCAATTAAATATGTTTTAATATCCTCCTGATTTAATATAAATAGGCAAACATATTTCAACAGATGAACAAAAAAAACGCCCACGGTTCCTCACAGAGCTTTGTTGGAGACTTTAACCACTGGCAGCAGCCTCAGAAGAACATCCTCTGAAGCTGAGTATTTCTTCAGATCAAACTCATCCAGATCTTCTCCTGATGACACCAAGATGAACCCCAGAGCTGACCACTGAGCAGGAGACAGTTTGTCTGTGGAGAGACTTCCTGAACTCAGAGACTGTTGGATCTCCTCCACTAGAGAACGATCATTCAGTTCATTCAGACAGTGGAACAGATTGATGCTTTTCTCTGCAGACACATTTTCACTGATCTGCTCCTTGATATACTGAACTGTTTTCTGATTGGACTGAGAGCTACTTCCTGTCTGTCCCAGCAGACCTTGCAGGAGTCTCTGATTGGTCTGCAGTGAGAGTCCCAGGAGGAAACGGAGGAACAAATCCAGGTGTCCATTTGAACTCTGTAAGGCCTGGTCGACAGCATTCTGGTGTAGAGATATTATTTTTGATTTGTGGAACAATGTAGGGACAGCCGATTGTTTTTCTTCCATCAGGTTGACCCCAGACTTAATGAAGGTCAGGTGAACATGAAGAGCAGCCAGAAACTCCTGAACACTCAGATGGATGAAGCAGAACACCTTGTCCTGGTACAGACCTCTCTCCTCTCTAAAGATCTGTGTGAACACTCCTGAGTACTGAGGCTGCTCTGATATCGATGCCACACTCTGTCAGGTCTGATTCATAGAAGATCAGGTTTCCTTTCTGCAGCTGATCAAAGCCAGTTTTCCCAGAGACTTGATCATCTTCCTGCTCTCTGGACTCCAGTGAGGATCAGTTTCAGCTCCTCCATCATACTTGACTGTCTTCACTTTGGTCTGAACACCAGGAAGTGGATGTACATCTCAGTCAGGGTTCTGGGCAGCTCTCCTCCCTCTCTGGTCTCCATCACATCCTCCAGAACTGTAGCAGTGATCCAGCAGAAGACGGGGATGTGGCACATGATGTGGAGGCTTCGTGATGTCTTCATGTGGGAGATGATCCTGCTGGCCTCTTTCTTCTCTCTGAATCTCTTCCTGAAGTACTCCTCCTTCTGGGGGTCAGTGAACCCTCTGACCTCTGTCACCATGCCAACACACTGAGCAGGGATCTGATTGGCTGCTGCAGGTCGTGTGGTTATCCAGAGGAGAGCAGAGGGAAGCAGTTTCCCCCTGATGAGGTTTGTCAGCAGAACATCCACTGAGCTGGACTCTGTAGCATCAGTCAGGATCTCCTTGTTGTGGAAGTCCAGTGGAAGTCGACTCTCATCCAAGCCATCAAAGATGAACAGAACCTGGAAGTGTTCGAAGCTGCAGATTTCTTTGGTTTCATTAAAGAAGTGATGAATCAGTTCCACCAAGCTGAAATTTTTCTCTTTCAGCAGATTCAGCTCTCTGAATGTGAATGGAAATATGAACTGGATGTTCTGGTGGGCTTTGCCTTCAGCCCAGTCCAGAGTGAACTTCTGTGTTAAGACTGTTTTCCCAATGCCAGCCACTCCCTTTGTCATCACTGTTCTGATTGGTTGATCTCTTCCAGGTGGGACTTTAAAGATGTCTTCTTGTCTGATTGTTGTTTCTGGTCTGTGTTGTTTCCTGGATGCTGTTTCAATCTGTCTGACCTCATGTTCATCATTGACCTCTCCAGTCCCTCCCTCTGTGATGAAGAGCTCTGTGTAGATCTGGTTCAGAAGGGTTGGACTTCCTGCTTTACTGATTCCCTCAAACACAGACTGGAACTTCTTCTTCAGACCAGCTTTAAGTTCATGTTGACCAACTGCAGTAAGATGTTCTGAGTGAAAAGAATTATTTATGGAAAGTTATTGATGGTCTACTTAATATATTATTCTATAGACATCAACACTAGATTGAATAAGTGTCTGAATTATCAGGTTAAATCTTGGTATAGATTCTCTTACTGCACTGGAGTCGCTCAACCAGCTCCTCCTGCTTCATCCTCCTCAGGAAGTTCATTGTGATCTTCATCACTGCCTCTCTGCTACTCTTCCTCTGCTCTTCATTCTCACCTTCCAACTCCTCATTGTCTGTCTCACAATCTGACCATTCTGGGTCTTCTGGACTCAAAACCTTCTGGATCTTCTTCAGCTCGTTTGTCACAAAAGTGAAAATGTTTTCCTTCAGTAACTGGAACAAAATAATAAATGAAGAAGTCAGGATAAAATCATACAGCCAAATAGCTGTTATTTGTTGCACAGAGTGACAGTCCTATGTCTGTGCATTGTGGAGAATACTGTGCAAAGAATCCATGGAAAAATAGTTGTTGTACGGACCATAAATATAGAGTCCAGCTGTGTTTGATTTTGGTGGACAGATGGACCACTGGGAGTCTCTGATATCTTCTGGCTCATTCTGTGGATAAACCATGAAAAATTCACTCACATATTATCTAGCCACACAGACATGTGGACACACATTTTACTCACAACATCCAAATAATAAATGTCCATGAAGGGATATATGTGGGTGAACTGAATCAGATAACATTTTTTTGTGCTGAAGGTTTACCCATGTTGTTGATATTACAGATAATATCCACAATATATCATAATGTCACATTGAAAGTAAAACCACAGGGGAAAGGAATTATTGAATGAAATCTTATTTCTATCATGATTTTATTGTTGTTTCCATATTAGTTGAAATAAACATTCCTCTACATACTCTGGAACAGTGACCCAATCAGAGTAAGATAAGTCCAGGTCAAATATTTCCCTTTAACAAGAAAAAAATGTCTAATAACTCAACGAGGCCCAAAATCAACAAGACCAGAGCTGTTCAACATGATATAGAAGCATCCAGGACGCCTCCAACAACATCTGTTCATTCCACCTGGTCAGAACAAAAACATTCAGGCTGAATCAGTGGTCATAGTTGCAGCAGTTAGAAACAGCTCACCTCTCTGGTGGTGGAGGTTGATCTGATTTAAAATCAAACCACATATCCTTTGAATCATGGCTTTTGTAGGACAGGTCCCTGGATTTATCCTCGTTTTTAAGTGTGACTTTCTCCATCCTAAGAAAAAAATATAAACATTAAAATAACAGAAAACTTTTATAGTGGGCAGGGCTTATCATTTCAAGAAGCTATGATTAAAATTACTAAAACATAATTTGTTAGTGTTGCTGTTAAGTGCATGTAAGTTCTTTTTAAACAGAGAAATTGGACAAAGTAAAATTTTCTATTCTGTTTGCAAATACAGAACGATACACAATAACTGTGCAGAAATGATGCACTACACAATTTAACCACATGTAGCTTCACTTTTTTATATTTCCACAGTGCAAACAACAGTATCTATTTAAAATTCACAGTTTTGTGTTCACATACTAAATTCATATTGTCATGAGCAAACAGATCCACACAGTGAGCCAATCAAATCCTGTGTAGTAGTCTATACCCTATACCTGTGCTACATATTGCTTTGTTGAAATTCTTCTCAGTGGTCATCAGGTGGGAAAAAGCTGGAAATGTGTTGGAAGTTGGTGATTTTGTCCTGTGGGTCCTGCTGGAACCCACAGCTCTAACCACAGGCTGCTGTCACTCTGCTGCTTCTGCAACATGGACCTGCTGGCTGGAAGAAACACTGATACCAGGCTGAGCTGCTCTGTTCAGGCTGGATGAAGCAGCAAAGAGGAGCAGCAGCTTCCTCACCGTTTGGGCCTGATGCAGTTTGAACGCTGTGTGAAAAGGACACTGAGAGATGGTGACTCACCTCTGACCTTTGCTCTGGCTCTCATCTTCCCCACACAGAGAGGTTTTAGAGGGAGGGTCTCCCTCCTCTCTGTCCTCACACTGATCCATGCTGCTGAATCCACTGCAGCTCTTTCTACCTTCAGCTGCTGCACTTCTACTGTCAGGCCACTAGATGGAGACATTGAGCAAAGTTTTCATTCTTCTCAGTGGTCATCTGGTGGGAAACAGCTGGAAATGTGTTGGAAGTTGGTGATTTTTTTCTGTGGGTCCTGCTGGAACCCACAGCTCTAACCACAGGCTGCTGTCACTCTGCTGCTTCTGCAACATGGACCTGCCAACAGGTCCATGTTGGCATACTGGAAGCATCAATCCAACACATTTACTCAGTTCAACTTTTGAAAACAACAGACTTATTTTTACTGGCTAGTTTTCAGAGAATTTCAAATCAAACCAAGACTCATTTTAGATCTCAGCTGCTGGGAGGAGTTGAATGAACAAAAAACATTTTTAACTCTACTTTCACTATGAGAAAAAACTGAAGCTAGATCAAACTGAACTCCTGAAAAATGAAGAAATTGAGGACAAGCAGAAAGAAAAGGAAGGAAGTTATTAAGATTTGTGCTGAAACCAGAGGTGAACATGTTTTCCAGACACCAGAGAGCAGAAACAAACCGGACAGAGAGTTAAGACACATTTCAATTATAAAACAAAGCAAACTTACAGTTTGTTCATATGGCCCAACGAGTTGAAGTGTTGACCCAACCGACTGTGACAGAGTTTAGCTGCTTCCTGAAATCAATTGAAGCTGCACCTGTAATGTAGGCGGGTCAGGTAGGAGGGTAGCAGGTTCGGTCAGATAATATCAAAATAAAAAAAAGACATCTTGAAGTTTTTCTGAGCACCAAAAACACACGAAAAATAGAATGTCATTGTGAGTTTAGTAAATTTTAATAGCGCAGATGAAAACTTGATATGAAATGGTTCATGATGGAATGATGAAGTGATTAGAGCTTTCGGTTGCTTCTTGCCCCAGTGAACAGTACATGCTCTGACTGGTCAGACTGGTCTAACTGGTGAGTCAAAGAAAAAAAATCATGTGATGACGTCTGAAGATATGAACCTTTCACATGACTCCCAGGGTGAACAGAAACTAAAATTTTATTTAATTATTTTCCTCATCCAAATTTAGCTCTGAAAGCTGAACTAATAATCATCTTTAAATAGGAACCAACTGGATTCTTTATTAGACGGCAGATTTGTCTCCCTCTGGTGGTACAAACATCAACTATTTGATGTCGGTGTAGTAAACCGATGCCGCTTTTTTCTTTTTTTATATAAAACTATGTACTTCAGCCAACATCTCCTTAAGTGGAACATAACCTCTTCCACTTAATATAGTTATAGCAATAATACAAATGAGCATTATATATTTGAAATTAGAAAAATGCAATAAACATCACAAAAATAAAAAAATAAATGTGTTTTTAAAGGTTGTTAGTCATTTAACAGAAACTAAACAAATTTATGGAAGCAACATTACAGACAGCAAATTACATGGTCAATTTGTTTTGAAATAAATCTAATTTATTAGATATGACCGAACATTGAGGAACAATACCATCTTTTTTCTATGAGGCTGTCACCAGATATTCAGCACAACCATCTTATACCCCTTGCCTCAATATTTAAATTTAAAGTGATTCAATTTTTTAAAAACAGAATTAAAACACCATCCCACCTTTGTCTTAGCTAGTTATGGCCAGTTCAAGGTTCCAAAGCAGCTTTTTCAATGGGAAGATCAACAGTTTCTCCAAATGCCTCGTGTTTTCAGGTCATCACTCTGACCTGACTTTAAGTTAAGTTTTTAACCTTAAATCAAGATTAAAACTCATCTGATTAGAGTTGCTTTTGATTCACAATAACTGGAACATTGATCTGTGTATGTGATATATATTTGCTTGATGATTTTGATGATGGCATTTGACGAAATGTAATGTTTCTTGATGTTTCATATCTTGTTTCTGTATTATGATCTATGGTGTAAAGCACTTTGAACTGCCTTGTTGCTGAAATATGCTATATAAATTCACTTGACTTGACATAAGTTAACCTAGATATCACCAAAAGGGAATTATAAATAAACACCCCCTTTTCTATATGAAATGTTTTTTATCCCATAATGGGTATTTAATTGTCTTTTGTCCATTACTGATGGGTTTTAAACATTGATCTGTATATTTGATGTATATTTGCTTGATCCCCTAATCAATAACTCACATCTCCTGATCCCTTCGACAAGCCAAAGCTGTTTGTAGCCTAAATAGAAAGTAGGTTGAACAGACCCTGATTGAACTATAAATAATTCTCAATTTGACTCTAATCAGTGATTTTCCTCTGCTGTTAACTTCTAATCAGTTTCACCACTCAGAGTAGACACCCATAAACATTTCTGTAATTCACTTTGGGTGAGGCCACCAGCCAACAATAAGCATTATCTGACTTACCCAACGTGTTTCACCACAGGGAGAAGCAGCTTAAGCAGAATATTATCCCACAAATCTATATTTCAAACAACTGACTACCTTTTACCTAAAACATTCACCAATTACTCTTTACAAAACATATTAAATATAAAATGCACACCTTTTAATTAATGACCACTTATGTTTATTACATGTGTCTGGGGTTACCTAGGAGATGTTATTTTTTTTCAAACACTTTGGATAATTACATATAGGACACTAAGAAATCTGCAGAGGTTAAATATAAACTATTTAGAAGTTACAGAGTCATATACAAAAACCTTTCAGCATGGAAACCCGTGGAAATATATCAAGTCACCAACTCTGCAATAATTTGTTCTCCTGAATGAGCATACTGAGCGTGCATGATGTGACTATAATAGGACAACTCCTCTTCATCAGGAAGGATGCTGCTTGTGTTTGTTTAGTGTTGCCAGGTTCAGCACCAGGGCAGTTTAAGATGACAGAGCAGAAGCAACAACAAGATCCAGCAGTTCTTATCCAAGAGTAATTTTTCTAAGTTGAAAAAATAGCAGAAAGTTAACAGTAACATCAGTTGGTTTAGTTCTTTCATTTAGGAGAGAAGCATAGCTGAACAGAAATACTTGAATTGAATTGAAATACTTTATTATTCCTGAGGCAATTTGCTTGCAGTAGTTTCCAAATTCCACACAAAACAATTTTACTCACAAGAACAAAGCAAAAGAAGAAAACACACATTTAAAACATTACATCAGTACTCCAAGAATTACAAATAATCTAGAATTATGTTGAACTCCACTGCACTGAGAAGATCAACTTGTTAGGTGATAGAAATTAGGTTAGATTCTATAATACTGATCTGTAATGACTGAATACACTCAGTGGTGTACTGAGTGGATAACAGCAGTAATTACTGGAGGAAGGTCTGTTAAATCACAGTGCAGCTTTTTTGATCTGCACTGATAGTAAAAGAATGCTCAAAAAGTTGCCAGTTATCTCTGAAGCCCATTTTAAGCTCAATACAAGAAAACTGCTTAAATATGAGGTGTGTACAATTGGATTAAAATCCCTCTCTTTTTAAAGAGTTTTAAAAAGCTCAGTATATAATAATATGGTACATTTTCTGTGGAATTACAGATTGTCAAATTATTTTTCCCAGAAATTTAGACAGAATAAAAATTAGATTCAAAAGTGACTTATATTTTTTCAACATAAATTGATTAGCTTTATTTATTGAGATTAGCTAATTTGTACTGAACATTTCAAAAGTTAAAATCTACATAAGTACATTTCTGCACTTTCATTAGAGCTGAATGGTAGATATTAAAATAATTTAAAAAAATGGGGAAAATCCATTTGCAAACAAGAAATCATATAAACAAGGGAAAAAGCTGACACATTTAAACAACAGAGTAGGACTATATCATTAATATTTTTTAATTCAGTACATCTGTTCTCTAACATGGGTACATCAAAAATGTAATTTTCTCCCTTTTTTCCACACTTCATTTCTCCAATTAATGGTACTAATCTGTCTTACTTTGTTTTTGCAGGTAAATACATATCAGTAAAATTCTTGAAGCAGTTTACAGGGATACAAAATCATACATATTTTTTAGAATCAAAACCAGACTTGCAACATAGTCATTCAAGAACACATTGACATTCTGATGAAGGCAAGCTACTGGTTTATAGCCGCAGTTACAGACTCACTGCGCCCCAAAGATGATGTCATCAGCCTTTCTGAGCAATGGCAGCAGCCAAAGTGGGTCAAATGTCTTTTCCAAAGAATAAGAGAGGCACATAGAGTGGAAATCAAACCAGCAACCCCCCATTGTTTCAATATTGTTCTACCATTGTTCCAACATAGCTATATAGAATATTAAGCATCTTTTAACTGCATTAATTGTGCTGTGATATACTGAAGTACATGTTATAATCAGAAACATTTTCAAAATATGTGTATGAGAAAGTCTTAGATGTCCATGATTAATTTCTGTGTAATAAAATAGGATCAGTCATTTTGAGTAAATAAATTGTGCAACTGAATCCTCTTGGTTAAAGTTATAGTGAAAGAGTCTCAACCACTGAGGCAGAAAATATTTGGTGTGTAACGGACAGAAACAGAACGTCTCCATCCAAGAATAATTCTACTTTCTGTGTGTCTGTTTTCTCAGAGACTCTTTAACCTCAACATAGAAAGACTGAGGAATCAGGAAAGATTCTAAATCCGGGATAAAGAGGTTCAGTGAATGTGGTGTTGAAGGTGTGGATGTGGATCAGTGCGTCAGATGAGACTCTATAAAAAGACAAAATCCCAGCAGGATGGTCGACATACACTGCCACTCTGTTAGAGACATAGAAGGTGGAGAGGGGGAGGAGGAAGAGGAAAAGATGATGGGTGTTTTTTTGGCTTTGTGCCAGACAGAATAACCTTTATCAGAGCAGAACAGACTCCAGGACTGGTGATTCCGTCCAAACCAACAAGCATCACTGTATCCTCTAATTCTAATTCCTCTATAGCTCACAGAGATATCCACTTCTCCTTTCACCTCAACCTCCCAGTAACAACGACCAGTCAAACCAGTTTGACAAAGCAGCTGAGGGACATCGAATCTGTCTGGATGATCAGGATAAGCCTGATGGTCCTTCACACGTGTAACCTTGTTGTTGTTGTCAGACAATCTGAGCTCTCTGTTCACGGTGTTTAAGTCGATTGTGAGTTGACAAGAATCTGATGAAGAGAATAAAGACAACCCAGTTACTGATGATTGACACATTTGAGACCTGAAGAACTAAAAATGGTTGGATGTGAGCTGCTTTGTTGTTATTCATGAAATGACAAACATACTTACACTTCCTCAGATCCGGTGTTAACCACTGGACTCCGGAAGGGTCCACTCTGAAAAGGCAATGAGGGTTGAGAGGTGAGAGCATCGGGCAAAATAAAAAAATACTTTTTATTTGACACTTAACTATCAAGAACTACTCAAATTAAAATATTAAAAATCACATAATAAAAATAATTTAAAAGTGAAGAAATAGATATAAAAACAAAGATTTACATAATACCTATTGAAATTACATATGACAGCGTATGTGACTAAAATTATTTAGTAACTACCTAAAAGACTGTTTTTCCTAAAAGAGTAGCTTGGTTCAAAATCCAACTGCTGTGGCTCAGGACTGCCAGTCAGACAGACAAACCACTCATGGACACTAATGTTGCTCATCCCTCTAGTTGCAAATGGGACTCCACATGTGGAAACTTATGAGTCACAAAAAATATGAATATCCAGGAAAATAAAGAGAAAAAGATAAAACAGAGCTTGCTTTTTGTTTTTTCTCTTCTATTTAATACTCTATGTCAGTTGTCCCCATACCTTAGAGTGTTTAATCTCCATTGTGAATCCTCCAGTCCAAACGACAACTGTTTCACTCCCAACTCTCCTGGACAATTGTAACTCAGGTCCAGCTCTTTCAGATGAGAATGGTTCATAGTCAGAGCAAACGCCAGATGAGAAAAGCCTTCGTCTGTGATCAAACAGCCCGACAAGCTAAAAACAAACAATAGCTGTTTTTCAAAAAAGGTTCAGGTTGAATCAAATTTCTACAAAGTTAGCTTTTTTAAATAAGAAAAACTAATAAATAATTGCAACTGAAAAATAAATCCAATGTGGAATGATCCTGAAATCAGAAAATCTTGAACATTTATTATTGATAATAAACACACTGTATAAACATGGATACATATAGCGGCTACAATTTTGTAAACTGACTGTACCGTAATATGCTTATCCACATGGCTTCATGTGACAATGTTTGTTTTCAAACATACAATAAGTATCAAAGAAGCAATAAGTAAAAATAACACCTACAGGTGTTTATGAAAAAAGGTAAACATGTAAAAGTTCTTGTATGAGAGAAACCAATAAAGGCAATGCAGCTTGTTTAGTAGGGTCATTTTATAGGGGATAAATTATTTTTAGAAATAATTTTCCTGACAGTCAGGTTCTTCCTTACTGAAGAACCTGACAACACAATGAAGGCACAACAAATGGTACTCTGTAATCCAAGTAGCTTTCCTGACCAGCATTGTGCAGCTCAGCAGTAAGTGTTGAATTGAACCAGTAATTTTTTTGGTAAAATATTTTGTTTTGTATTTCATTTATCAAACTGTATGAGGAGATGTTGAAATGTGAGAATGAATGTCTTATAAACCAATGTCAATGCATTTTTAATAATCAAACACTCCTAGGTTTCTCAGCAGGTGTATAATTTGATAAGCTTTTCATAAATGAGGGTCACATGCAAGGAAGAAGGAGTCAATTATCAGAGGTAATTAAAGAATTCAAGCAGCTCCACTGATACTGGATAACCAATTACTTAACAAGACACTCCAAAATGTCATCCTTGTCCATACAACACAACTTTTTTCTTTTGGGGATATTTTCAACACGAGTCCTGTACAAAAGTTTGGGCCAAGTTGCTAACCACATTCCCATATCGGATACATTTAGAAATGGAAGGAAAAAAAATTGTAGCTTACTTGAGAATTTCTATTTTGCAGTTTGGACTCTCCAGTCCAGCAGAGAGAAGCTTCACTCCTGAATCCTGCAGGTTGTTGTTACTCAGGTCCAGTTCTGTGAGACTGGAGGACTGGGAGCTGAGAACTGAGGACAGAGCTTCACAGCTTCTCTCTGAGAGGTTGCAGCAACTCAGTCTGAAGCAGAGTATAAAAATGTTAACTAATTTATTTTGAATCAGTTTTTTCTAGCTATTTGTATTGCATAGCCTCAGTTCCCAATTGATATCCTCTAAAGACACTTTGCAAAGAAATAATCTGATCAATGCAGTTACATAGGCACATTTAAGTCTTGCAGTTCAGCCAAATTCAATTGTTCAAACATAAAAATTTTAAGTAAACTGAGTTGATTCCATCGAGTCACTAACTACAGCAGTCACTCCCTCAGACTGAGAATGAAGTGACAGTGGATCTCAGTGATGGTCGACTTCACTGAGTCAATCAAGCAAATAGCAGTAGGAACTCATTTTGGTCACCTTAACTTGCTCTAGATGAGAGATCTCTGCAGAGTTTATAACTCAAAGCAGCCACTTTTTCTGACTTACAGAATATTTACCATTTTGTCTTTTTATGATCAACCAAATTTTATTATATTATTCTGGTTGATTTGAAATAGAGTACAAAATTTTATGTGGATGTGATGCATTACTAAATTGAAGAAATGCCATTTTCCTTTAACTGAATTTGGTATACACTGTTTCCTTGTCTGTAGAATGGGATTGCCTCTAGAACTAGTTTGTCTTGTGAAATATGTGTTGTCTATTTTATGCCATTGGATGTGATTTGAGTTAGATATAAAAAACAGAATTTGGCTTGAAAGGAAAATGTATGTCCATACCCCTGATCATTACCTAAGGGTTTTTAGGCTGTGATTTGAACTCTCCAGTCCATGTGACAGAAGGTAAACTCCGGAATCCTTCAGATTGTTGTTACTAAGGTCCAGTTTTGTGACAGTCGTGGACTGGGACCTGAGAGCTGAGGACAAAGCTTGACAGCTTTTCTCTGAGAGGTTACATCCACTCAACCTAAGGAGTCAATAATGAAAAAACTCTAAATATACAAAATAAGTTCTTTCAACAAATTAGAAAAATATAACACAGAAGAAATATTTGACCAAGCAAATTTGATTTGCTTGATATCCAAAACATACAAATGTATAAATTATTGAATAAAAAAAGTATTTACAGAGCTTTGTTGGAGACTTTAACCACTGGCAGCAGCTTCAGAAGAACATCCTCTGAAGCAGAGTATTTCTTCAGATCAAACTCATCCAGATCTTCTCCTGATGACACCAAGATGAACCCCAGAGCTGACCACTGAGCAGGAGACAGTTTGTCTGTGGAGAGACTTCCTGAACTCAGAGACTGTTGGATCTCCTCCACTAGAGAACGATCATTCAGTTCATTCAGACAGTGGAATAGATTGATGCTTTTCTCTGCAGACACATTCACCCTGATCTGCTCCTTGATATACTGAACTGTTTCATGATTGGACTGAGAGCTACTTCCTGTCTGTGTCATCAGACCTTGAAGAAGTCTCTGATTGGTCTGCAGTGAGAGTCCCAGGAGGAAACGGAGGAACAAGTCCAGGTGTCCATTTGGACTCTGTAAGGCCTGATCAACAGCTTTATGATGGAGAGATTTTAATTTTGGCATTTGAAAAAAAGTATACCTCTTTGAGAATGTTGGTGCTTCTTCCATCAGGTTGACCCCAGACTTAATGAAGGTCAGATGGACATGAAGAGCAGCCAGAAACTCCTGAACACTCAGATGGATGAAGCAGAACACCTTGTCCTGGTACAGACCTCTCTCCTCTCTAAAGATCTGTGTGAACACTCCTGAGTACACTGAGGCTGCTCTGATATCGATGCCACACTCTGTCAGGTCTGATTCATAGAAGATCAGGTTTCCTTTCTGCAGCTGATCAAAAGCCAGTTTTCCCAGAGACTCAATCATCTTCCTGCTCTCTGGACTCCAGTGTGGATCTGTTTCAGCTCCTCCATCATACTTGACTGTCTTCACTTTGGTCTGAACCACCAGGAAGTGGATGTACATCTCAGTCAGGGTTCTGGGCAGCTCTCCTCCCTCTCTGGTCTCCATCACATCCTCCAGAACTGTAGCAGTGATCCAGCAGAAGACTGGGATGTGGCACATGATGTGGAGGCTTCGTGATGTCTTCATGTGGGAGATGATCCTGCTGGCCTCTTTCTTCTCTCTGAATCTCTTCCTGAAGTACTCCTCCTTCTGGGGTCAGTGAACCCTCTGACCTCTGTCACCATGCCAACACACTGAGCAGGGATCTGATTGGCTGCTGCAGGTCGTGTGGTTATCCAGAGGAGAGCAGAGGGAAGCAGTTTCCCCCTGATGAGGTTTGTCAGCAGAACATCCACTGAGCTGGACTCTGTAGCATCAGTCAGGATCTCCTTGTTGTGGAAGTCCAGTGGAAGTCGACTCTCATCCAAGCCATCAAAGATGAACAGAACCTGGAAGTGTTCAAAGCTGCAGATTTCTTTGGTTTCATTAAAGAAGTGATGAATCAGTTCCACCAAGCTGAAATTTTTCTCTTTCAGAAGATTCAGCTCTCTGAAGGTGAATGGAAATATGAACTGGATGTTCTGGTGGGCTTTGCCTTCAGCCCAGTCCAGAGTGAACTTCTGTGTTAAGATTGTTTTCCCAATGCCAGCCACTCCCTTTGTCATCACTGTTCTGATTGGTTGATCTCTTCCAGGTGGGACTTTAAAGATGTCTTCTTGTCTGATTGTTGTTTCTGGTCTGTGTTGTTTCCTGGATGCTGTTTCAATCTGTCTGACCTCATGTTCATCATTGACCTCTCCAGTCCCTCCCTCTGTGATGAAGAGCTCTGTGTAGATCTGGTTCAGAGGGGTTGGACTTCCTGCTTTACTGATTCCCTCAAACACACACTGGAACTTCTTCTTCAGACCAGCTTTAATGTTTTCCTCATAAACTGTAGCAAAATGTTCTTAATTTCATGAGACAAACAAAACACAAAAAACAAAATCAATATGTTTAAGCTACAGACAATGATTTTATTTTCATTTAGACTTTATTTGAAGAAATTTTGTTCTAGCTCATACATAAGTGTCTCATGTGTTCAGGAGGTAAAATCTTAGTAGATGTCTTACTGCATTGGAGATGGTCTGCCAGATTATTCAGATTCAATATCCTCAAGAAATTCAGAGTGATCTTCATAAATGCCTCTCTGCTGTTCTTCCTCAGCTGTTCCTTCTCACCTTCCAGCAACCCACATATCTGACTGTCTGGGTATATTTTGGAAACTGGACTGAGAACACGCTGGATTGTCTTCAGCTCATTTTTCACAAAAGTGACAATGTTGTCCTCCAGCAGCTGGAATAGAATAGATTGTGATTGAAAAATAATTTTGATAATGATAGATAGGTGACCACGAAAATTCACAACTGTTATCTTGGACACCACTTACATACAACCTTGAACTGTTGGAGACATTGCATGTAAAATCATCAGTTCTGCTTTTGCTAAACTACAGACAATGCCCTAGTGCATTTTTGATAATATTTGATGGTTTTAATCATGCCTCACTCTTGGCTATGCTTTTAATTTTTATCAGCTGTTTTTTAAAAAACAGAAATTGGATTTGTATTATGCAAATGTCAAGGATTCATATTTCTCCAAAATAAGACATCCTTTCTGAAAATCACCTCATCTTTGTTTATCTACTCTCTTAATATACATTTCTTGCTCATAGTCAATTGGTACAGAAAAAGTCTGTGAGAAAGTGGCCACATGAAGCTAACATAGGCCTGCAGAAATGTTTTGAGGGCACAGACTGGATCGCTCTTTTCCAGCAACATGGAAAGGATATCAACATCATGGCTGTGTATGTGATAAACTACATGAACTTCTGTGTGGACAACACAATTCCTACATGGTAATAACAAACCATGGACAACCAATGAGCTGAAACCAGAACAAGAGAGCATTCAGGGAGGGAGGCAGGGAATTATTGAAATCCATACAGAAGCAGCTCAATGCTCAACGTCAAAATTAGACACAGCAAGGAAAAGTACAGGAAGAAGCTACAGAACAAACTACAAAGGAATAATCTTAGAAGTGTGGTCAGAGATTAAATTATCACAGGGTTCAAGTAAAGGAAAATCTGATTGGTGGAAGTCTAGTCAAAATCTCTTTTCATGCTTCTGAATCAATTGTGATTGTAAGTGTTGTGTTCCAGATTAATGTTAAATTCTCCCCTCTATCTTTCCAGTTGGAAGCTCAAGATTCTAATACATTTCTTAACAGGAAATCTTTCCTGCAAATAGCCATCACCATCTCTTTGAAGAACTTTGAACAATGTGACCTGCAACATTCAATTTCAATAAAGTATCTCTTAATTGAACTGAATCTGAATGGCGAGTACCATAAGGAGAACAAATAAAAATGTAGATTTTGTACATTTCCTAACCTTAAATATGGAGTCCAGCTGCATTTCATTGTGAGTGGCTTGAGTTCTGGGATCATCAGAATACTGATGATCCACTCTGTGAAAGAAGCAGGAACAATTTATTAGTTAATATATTTACTAGTAAATTGATTTTCTAAAATAAATGTTGTACATATTAAATCTCCAAATACATTGCAATAAAAGTCATTTTAAATGTTCACAACTTCAATTAAACACAATACAATAAGATTTAATAAATAATTGAATAATTAATGAGAGAAATATGACATATAAAGGTGAATGCCCACATAGCACTGCCTTGAACAGTGACCACGGGTTAAGGGGATCATCTCATCAATATCTTCACTCATTTTCTCCATATATAATGCTAGAAAACATCCAATACACCCAATGCAGTACGAGAATAATCTATGAAAAATATCTTAAATTCACAATCACATGGTTGAATTAACTTGCTTTACTCAGTTTTCATAAACATCTCACCTTTCTTCTGCTGAAGGTTGATTTTGTTGAAATTCAAACCAAAGATTCTTTGAAACGTGGCTTTTAAAGGACACATTCTGGTATGTGTGCTCATTTTCAGCTGTAACATTCTTCATTCTAAGAAAAAAAAATTCTCTTAAATATTTTATAGCACTTTATTTCACTCAGATGAAGAGTTTTGACAAATTCTGTTTGCAAAGACTCTGCTCCCTGCAGGTAGCAGTCTGTATGCCTTTAAGGCTATTGCCTCAGCCTGTTTGGAGCAACGTTAATCTGAATTATTTTTTATAGCAAATCAAAAATAACAAAGATAGACCAGGGTGTTTCACAGTGAAATTATGCAAAACTATCTCCATAACACACCAGCTCATTAATTAACCTTCTGTCAACGTCTGTTTTTTATACATTGTCATATTTAATTCCTGGGCCCTTTAGATTTGCTACTTTCCCTTCTGGCCCTCCACTCCCAGAGTCGGGTCAAAGAGTTGCTAACTTTTCGTGGGTGTGTGTCACTACGAAAGACTTGTATTATTGGGTGAAGGAAAATAAAAGGGGTCTTATATAGTAGATAAAATTATTGTTAGATTATATGGAACTGTCTCAGACATCAATGGCTTCTAGGTAACTTTGAAGTAGGTTTGTTAAAATAATTTCTATCTCTATTAATATATAGTTCTCAATTCTAAGTGAAGATATTCCATTATATTGTCTTCTTCAAATATTTAAGGCCCAGCATAGATTATAAACAAACTTAGAATAGATATATTTCTAACCTTGGAGCTCACCTCTCTGAGGATGGTCCAGAAGATTCAAAGTCAATATGAAGATCATAAACGCTCTGGTTCTCAACTGATATGAGGCCAGACGGTGGTTCAAGATGGGATTTCTGATTGGTCCTGAAAATAGAAATATTATTATAACCCATTTTATAAGATTCCGTTTTACATAACAGCCTTTGGATGAGAGTCCCATACAGACAGGAAATAGAATGAAAAAGGGACCTAATAATTGTCTTCAAGTAAAATAACAACCCAGTGTTAATTGCATATTTTATACATTTAACTGACTGTAAGAATGAGCAGCTTGATATGTTTATCTGGGTTGAATTTAGACAGAAAATCAATGTCAACATGATTACATGAATCTATGATCAGCTGTCCTTCTTTCTAGGATGAATCATGTTGAACACATGTTGGTCATCAGATCAGGAAATGTGTTGGAAGTTGATTTTTTCCATCTGTGTCCTGCTGGAACGCAGACCTCTAACCAACAGGCTGCTGTCACTTTACTCAGTTTTCAGAAAACTTCAGATGATTTTGGGGACATTTTGATTCATTTAATTGTGGCATGTTTGGCTTCATGCTGCGGTTCTAATTATTGCCACAGTATTTTCTCTAATCTTTATTTTGTGAACTCTAAATGCTCTGGGCCGACTCTTCCTTTAATGCTTGAGGTTCTGCAATAACTTCTATTTACAGTCGCTCACCTCCAGCTCAGATCCCGTCAGCATGGGCTGGTAGAAACATTAAGGAGGAACATAGCGAACAGCTTGGTACCAGGTGGTACCAAGCTGTATCAGGTGGTACCAGGCTGTACCAGGCTGTATCAGGTGGTACCAGGCTGTATCAGGTGGTACCAGGGGTACCAGGCTGTATCAGGTGGTACCAGGCTGTATCAGGTGGTACCAGGTGGTACCAGGCTGTATCAGGTGGTACCAGGCGGGTACCAGGCGATACCAGGCTGTATCAGGTGGTACCAGGTGGTACCAGGTGGTACCAGGCGGTATCAGGTGGTACCAGGTGGTACCAGGCTGTATCAGGTGGTACCAGGCTGTATCAGGTGGTACCAGGTGGTACCAGGCTGTATCAGGTGGTACCAGGCGGGTACCAGGCGATACCAGGCTGTATCAGGTGGTACCAGGTGGTACCAGGCGGGTACCAGACAGTACCAGGGCTTTGACTCGTGGTGACTGTTGCAGTACAGTCTCTTATATCAGGATGTCTGATAGACAATAGTTTTTTTCAGCAACTAAAGCATTTCTGTGTGTAGGTGCAAAGCAGATTTTTTCCCACTATTATGAGGACAATGACAAAAATATAAATAGAAACAGTTTTTCTAAGGTCAACATCAGACCTACGTTTTTATTCATAAACCAGTGTATGAAAAAGTATTCTTGCCCATAATTTGATAGTTAGAGGGAACAGATCCACCACCCTCCTCCTCAACATGGACCAGACGTCTGATCAACATGGAGGCAGAAACTGAGAGTCATTATTATACTGAGGGCAGCCAGACTAGTTCCTTTTGCTAAATTATTATATTTAGCTACATATGAATGCTGAAGGGCATAAGCAGGCCTTCTAACATACAGTTAAAAAACAAACAAACAAAAAAACCCCGCTCCCCCCCTTCTGCACGTCCCTTTAAATTATATGAGGAGAAACAAATATATTAGAAACACAGAAACATTTTATACTGACTCAGTTTATTCAGTCACAGCAGGTAGAAACATCTCACCTCTTTAACGATGGAGGTCCAGCAGATTTAAAGTCAATGATGTCACGCTTTGACCTGTCACTCTTAAAAGACAAACAGCTGGACTCTGGTTCTGGTTCTTGTTCTGGTTCGAGTCTCTGAAGGATCCTGACAGAAACATGATGATTAAAACCCATTCTGTCAGGTTCTGTTTACACACCAGCCAACATTTCCGTCATGGACCCATCTGGACCGGAACCGGGCTGAAGTTGGTGATTTTGTCCTGTGGGTCCTGCTGGAACCCACAGCTCTAACCACAGGCTGCTGTCACTCTGCTGCTTCTGCAACATGGACCTGCTGGCTGGAAGAAACACTGATACCAGGCTGAGCTGCTCTGTTCAGGCTGGATGAAGCAGCAAAGAGGAGCAGCAGCTTCATCACCGTTTGGGCCTGATGCAGTTTGAACGCTGTGTGAAAAGGACACTGAGAGATGGTGACTCACCTCTGACCTTTGCTCTGGCTCTCATCTTCCCCACACAGAGAGGTTTTAGAGGGAGGGTCTCCCTCCTCTCTGTCCTCACACTGATCCATGCTGCTGAATCCACTGCAGCTCTTTCTACCTTCACCTGCAGAGGAAACACATCATTCATCAGCTCTGATCGTCTTTACATCATTAGAGCTGGAAAAAGATCAGCTGCTCCTCATTTTCCCATCAACGACCTTGAAAAGCCCTCCAAGACACCTGAGATCTTTTTCTGGGTCAGTTTTCTCTGCTTCGATGTGCAAAAACTGTCTAAAACTCAGCAACTCATTGATTAAGGGACAATACTTCATACCTCCCGTTTATTAGCACAGTCAAGTAACTATGTTATGTTCAGTTGTCATACAAATTATATACATATCAAAAATAACTATAAGAAATTTGATTTTACATTTAACGCCTTGAAATGAGACCTCTGTCTTGTTAAGAAGCTCCTGCTTGTTCCAAAACTCCCCATCAGGACAAGATATTAACAATGCTTCTCCATTATATCGTTTTCCTTGTTCGGAGGAGCGTTGGACGCCGAGGTTCCTATGATAAGTGCAGGACTCACTTCTGCCAGATGTTTGCTAAATGCTGCTGCTGCTAGTCTGGAGGAGTTGTGTGAGAGAGGTATGAGGGAAGCTTTGTGAGGTGGAAACCCAGCCTGGAGACTGCAGCTCCAAGGAGGAGCTTTGGGTAAATGTGCTGCACAATTAATATAAGATTATGAATAAACATTCTCAGAAAATATTTTCTATTCCACCATCTAAACAGGCTGCTCTTCCCTCTGTTTTTCTTTCTTTGTGCTTTTGCTTCTGGTTCTCCTTTTTCATGTTTCTTCCTTACTTGTGTTCTACCTTCAATCCTTAGATTTTTTCTTGTTTGTCTCCTATTTATTTTCCTCTCTCTCATCCTTCTGGTGTTACTTTCTCTGTATTTCCCACACCATGGTTGAATTTGGATCCCTGATGCATTTTTGTTCTTAAGATTTTAAGCAAAATTTAAAAGATTGTTGAATGACAAGAAATGTTGGAATTGTTCATGAAAAAGATCCAGGAACATGTCGAACATGCTGGTCAGTGACCCAGTTTGTGTGAAATCTTCTGATCCAGATTAAAATATGAAGGTATTTGATTCCACTGATGCATTGACCAACTTCTGTTTTCAACCGTGACTGAATGCATTGGACTTTGGACAGTCATTGTCCACAGTCAACACATTGAGTTACACATTGTAATTTGTTTAATCATACACAAACCGATTGGCTTTTGGGTCATGATAAACTCCGACCTACACGCTGCCATATAAAAATACATTTACACAGAGAACAGCACTCTGTTGTGAAGACCAAAAGAAATGGAGCAACAGTGAAATCCTGGATAATTGAGTCTGTGAGGAGCAGGAGAAATACATCATAAATTTGAAAATATTGGCAGCAAAAAGTGAAGCAACTGAAGCAGGATCATAACAGATCAAAGGTCACAATAATCACAGTGGATCAGAGGGGAAGAGCTGTAATAGTGGTTTTTACTGAACTTGGTTCTGAAGAGACAGCAACTTTTATTCACATAGTCCAATAAACTTAAAGTGAATTTAAGATGAAAATATCACCATCAAATAATTTACTAGACTTTTTAACTGTCTTGTTACTGAAATGTTCAAAGAAACTTGACTTTCCGATTATCTGTCTTTTTTTTTATGGATTCCAGGCTTGAATGTTTAATCTGCAAAGGTTTAAAATGTTATATTTTCTTATCTGATTCAATACACCTTTAGGTATTCAGCTGTTATTTCTATCTGCTCTCTGAACAGCTGATATTTTACAGCTGCTATAAATAGGAAGGAAGAGACATATATGACAGAGAAACATCACAAGTTCTGCTTTTATCACTCTACATTTATGTATTTCTGTCCCTTCATTCTCAGAGGGACAGAAACACATTTTAATATGATGCAGAAGATTTAACTGGTGGCAGAACCTTAAAGAGTCGGTTCAGGTTTTAAGTGGATTTTTGTATCTATATAAATCATAGCAAAACCTGCCAACAGTTCAGCTTTTAAGCTCTGAGCTATTTAGGTTTTAATCAAACCATTTTGGTACTGGTTGGGTCCACAGAGTTCTAATGATCTAAATGTAAAACCAGCTGTTTATCATGCTGTTTGATTCCAGTTCATCATTAATCGTATCATCTTGTAATTCAGTCTTGAAACTGTAGAGACGAAACTTTGTGCTGAAATCATTAGTGAACATGATCTTCAAATGCAGATAAATGAAACAAACAGGAAACTTCTTTAAGACAAAGTAGGAAACAAAACAAACTTACAGCTTGTTGAAATAGTCCAAAGAGTTGAAGAACATCTGAAGAACAGACTTACACTCAGGTGATCGGCTTGAAAGGAGGCGGAGCTTCACTCATGATGGAGGCGGGACAGTTAGGCAGCAACAGGAACAGAAGTGGAGTTCCTGGAAACTTTTTTCCTGATCCTCAAGAAGCCATTTGGTTTTCAGCTTCAAGTCGGACGTCAGAACAAAAACAACACACACACTAAACAGCAGCTCTATTTCTTGGTTTTCCTGTGAAAACCTTAGAGAGCAGCAGGATTTGGTGTGTTCTCAGTGTGTTCTCACGGTGTGTTCTCACGGTGTGTTCTCACGGTGTATTTTCACGGTGTGTTCTCATGGTGTGTTCTCCAGAGTCACAGTGTGTCGCTGCGTCCTGGAGGTTCCAGTCAGCTTCACCCTGCAGCTGTTTCTGGCATTGAACAGGAAGTGAGGTGTGCCTGCAGCTCATTGTGCCAATGGAATTAATGTTTAAACTATGAAGTTTAAGTCCAGATCAAATAAATCATCTGACAAGAAATGGAAATAAAACCTCCAGGTTGCCTTTAATCAACTTTTTGTTCGATTTGTTTGTGTCTCTTTAGTCATCCTTATGTTTTTGTTGAAGACTCATTCACATGACACCAGAAATCTTGCAATGCTTGCTCTTGTGTATTCTGAATAAATTAAACATCTCTGACAACCTTTGGAAAAGCCACATTAATTCCCCCATTAATAATACTTTTTACTAATGATACATTTTATTAGTCAAATAACCTGAAAGTCATACTGAACCTTTTTCTTTGTACAGCTACAGGTTTGGTGAGATATATGTTGACCAATAAAGAAAAAAAAAACTGCTATACAGTTTGTCATTTTGAAAGTAAAGAATCTCTTCTTGGCTCTTGTGTCATATTCAACAAGTTGGAAATATAATATTGTAGTTTTTTATGTTCTTAAGTTAATGTAAAAAATGTTTTAATAAAATAACTATTAGTTTTGTTGAAATAATGAGAAGCAAATTATTCACATTCAGAAGATATGTTTATTGTTTAAAAAAACACAAGTATAACGGAAGAAAATATACAAAAAGAAGATTTAACATTTGAATTCAAGACATGTTTAGAAACTAATAATCAGATAACATTTACAAAAATGTGACTCATGAATGATTGGATAAAACCAAGAGATTATCAACATTCGGATAATCTGTGTGAAATTTTCACTGGATTTGGACAAAAATTATGTGGATTTTGGAATAATCCCGATTTATTACAGAAAAAGGAAAACATTTCCATTAAATAATTTAGAAGAGTTTCTACAAGAAACAGATTAAATTCATGAACTTCAATGTGTTTCTGAGTAAAAGACAAAGACATGAACCCTCCATGAAACAGAGAGAGTTTCTCTGACAGGAGGAAACTCAACTCAGCACAGAGACACAGAAGAACCAGAAAACCAAACTCTGAATGCAGGAAGCAGAGGTTCAGTGAATGTGGTGTTGAAGGTGTGGAGGTGGATCAGTGAGTCAGAGGAGATGGTATAGAAGGACAAAATGCCAGCAGGATGATCCACATACACTGCTACTCTGTTAGAGACGGAGGAGGAGGAGGATATGGGAGCTTTTATGTTGTTGTGCCACACAGAGTAACCGTGTTGATCAGAGCATCTCAGACTCCAGGACTTATCATTTCCTCCAAACATGCAGTCTTCACTGCATCCCCTCCTCTTGATTCCTCTGTAGCTCACTGATAAATAAACAACTCCTCTCCACTCAACCTCCCAGTAACAGCGACCAGTCAGACCAGTTCCACAGAGCAGCTGAGGATGCCTGTAATCAAATCTGTCTGGATGATCAGGATGTGGCTGGAGCTCATCCACATGTGTCACCTTCCTGTTATCTGCAGACAGTTTCAGGTTTCTGTTCACTGTGTTTGTGTCGATGGTGAGTTGACAGGAATCTGATGGAGAGAAGAAACACAATCCAGCTGCAGTTATTGATCATTTATTGATCTTTGATGACTCCTGAATGAGTGATGTGACTCTGTGAAGATGGTTGTTGTCATGAATCAGATGAAAAACACACTTACATTTCCTCAGCCCTGGTGTCAAGAATCGGCCTCCAGCAGGCTCCACCCTGAAAGGAGGACGGGGGTCAGAGGTCAGCAAACATGGACATTGCATGTCTCTCACACACATTGTCCTTATATATATATACACTGGAAAAACACTGGAAAAAAATGTTTCTTACATGAAATAACATTTATGTCAAACCCTTAAACCTCACAACCTGGAGGCTAAAGGGAAGTGATAAACTGGTTTTGCTTCTATTTTTGTCCAAACTGTGCAGTAACAGAATAAAGCTCCTATCCTTCATCTTGCCCTATGGCTTTAGAATTTCTTGCTGGTTTTATGATCATTTTCTTAGCTTTGTTTCTTCCTACTGTTGATGAGGCCACTTAAAAAACTACTGCTTCTATTGTCACTTTACATTTCTTTACATTCAGGAAGAGAATAGGCGATTGTTAAGAATAGTAGAAGCTCTGAGTTAGAATGTATTAAACAGAAACTTTATTTAGTTTATAAATCTAAACACTCATTCCTAATCCATCTCCACCATATTCTGAAATGATCACACAAAGTTTCATAAATAGACTCCAATGCTCCTCCATACCTGAGAGTTTCCAGTCTCCAATGTGGATCTTTCAGTCCAGCCGACAGCAGCTTCACTCCTGAGTCTCCTGGATGATTGTAGCTCAGGTCCAACTCTTTCAGATGGGAGGGGTTAAAGGTCAGAGCAGAGGCCAGAGAAGCACAGCCTTCCTCTGAGATCAAGCAGCCTGACAAGCTGCAGACACACAAATGAACATAAATGATCAACTATGAATAGCAATATGCATTTGTTCATTTTTAATTGTGAAAGGCAGCTAAGAAACCAGAAGCATCAGTTATCAAAACAGGCAGTGATGGAAAATACCAAAATACTTCTGATTTTAATTTGAAAACATATTAAAAATATAATTTAAATATTAACATATATTTAATTTATATATTAGAACTAATGCATGAATTAAATATTGATTGTAGACAATCAGCACCAATAGTTTGAAGTGGAGATTAGAGATACAGCACACTGCTTATCATAAATTTATGACTTTAAAAAGCATCTTAACACAGTTCAGGAAACATTGTTGACAATCTATGAATGTTCTGGTAATGAATGATCTCTGCAAATGAGATGGAGTCTGACTAATAAATCTGGAACAAAGTCATTCACATCAAATATTTTCTTACTGCGAATCAGAAATGGACACAGAACTTTACCAACACAGATTTAACACCCAGCACCAACCGAGCAAAGATGGCAGAACAACAACAACCTCAAAGTCATTTGAGCCAAACAAAGAGCCGACAGGATCACATCTGATAAGGATGGAACCAGAGATGATCCGATTGAGAACTCAGCCAGATCACAGCGGGTGTTACATCCAGATCAGGAATCAGAAAAATGTGTATTTTTTTCTGAATAAAAATGGGAATCATAACAGTATATACCATCTTGTGGTGGTACAGAGTCAGACTGTCTCAGAACAACTTGTGTGACTGTGCAGCAGTGACTCCCATAAAGCAGACCAGAAAACACCATCAGCTAGAAGTGGGAGCATTATTGCCACATTAGCAACGTTGTTGCTGTATTTAGTGACTTTTCTGACCCCTGCATAAAAAATGCTGGAGCTTATTTTTGTAAACATTGCAAGAGGTCAAAATATATTTACATTTTTTAAAAATTATTGCCATGTCGAGACAGATAATTTGTGAATAGATCAAGCACCTCAGCTTCCTCCCTGTATTGTTATTACTGTCTGAACAAATGGACTGCTCACCATCAAAAACAACCAATCAGAGCTGGGATGAGCATCTTAGTGCTGTCAACCTCTCTTGTCTATACACACCTATGTGTGAATGGCGGCAAAAACACTCAATGTTCCAATAAGACCCTCCTGCTGACTCTGATTGTCAGCAGGAGGCCGACTCCTCTGCACTTAAAGAATGCAGAGGAGCTTGATTTTTTATTTTATTTTATTTTTTATAGATTATCTGTCTTATGCTATACTGTAACAACAGTGAGTTTTATGAAAGCATTTTTTAAAATAAAGTGAATGAAAACAGAGTAGAAGGATGTGTACTAACTGAATCATCGACTCCTAATTAGAATTTTCAAAGTGAGAACAGAAACCATAAGAGAGGGGAGGAATTATTACATTCTGGGGAAAATTTGACTCTTGAATATTAGGGAATTGCAGTACAAGACCATAATAGAACGTTGAGAGTAACTTTATATAAAACTATGAAAATGGTGACCTTTTATATCTTATAATATTTTTTTTTACATCTGTGGGACACTTCAATTGTGATATGAACCAAAATTTTGGTTTATATCACCATGTTAGACAGGCAACAGGTAATTCAATAATGAAACAATAAATTAATAAAGAAAAATAAAATCTCATTTCTGTGCCCATGACAAAAGTTTGTGAAACTTTGACCCCTCTCTTACAGAAGGTACAATAGACAAACTTTTAGTTGACTGTGTTCCAGTCTAATAATATTTCAAACAAAAACTCATCATAACTGGGATTTACATGAGAGTTTCCAGGTTGCAGTTTGGACTCTCTAATCCAGCAGAGAGAAGCTTCTCCTGAATCCTGCAGGTTGTTGTTACTCAGGTCCAGTTCTCTGAGACTGGAGGACTGGGAGCTGAGAACTGAGGACAGAGCTGCACAGCTTCTCTCTGAGAGGTTACAATCACTCAGCCTGCAGGGGAAAACAAAAACAGTAACATGACAGACATCTGAGAAATAAAGGAAACATGTACCTATAATATATGCCACTGGAGGCATATATTATAGATATAAACTGGTTCCTTGTCATCAATATTCAGATATATTTAAAACAAAAATTTTATTGTGTGCTTTCTTACAGAGCTTTGTTGGAGACTTTAACCACTGGCAGCAGCTTCAGAAGAACATCCTCTGAAGCAGAGTATTTCTTCAGATCAAACTCATCCAGATCTTTTTCTGATGACAGTAAGATGAAGATCAGAGCTGACCACTGAGCAGGAGACAGTTTGTCTGTGGAGAGACTTCCTGAACTCAGAGACTGTTGGATCTCCTCCACTAGAGAACGATCATTCAGTTCATTCAGACAGTGGAACAGATTGATGCTTTTCTCTGCAGACACATTCTCACTGATCTTTTTCTTGATGTATTGAACTGTTTTATGATTGGTCTGTAAGCTACTTCCTGTTGGGTTCAGCAGACCTTGTAGGAGCCTCTGATTGGTCTGCAATGAAAGTCCCAGCAGAAAACGGAGGAACAAGTCCAGGTGTCCATTTGGACTCTTTAAGGCCTGGTCAATGGCATTCTGATAAAGACTTTGCCTTTTAGGCTGCTTTTTAAACATTGAAGATATCTTGGAGGCTTTGTATTTATCAGCCATGAGATTTACATTGAACTTGTTGAAGGTCAGATGGACATGAAGAGCAGCCAGAAACTCCTGAACACTCAGATGGATGAAGCAGAACACCTTGTCCTGGTACAGACCTCTCTCCTCTCTAAAGATCTGTGTGAACACTCCTGAGTACACTGAGGCTGCTCTGATATCGATGCCACACTCTGTCAGGTCCTGATTCATAGAAGATAGTTTCCTTTCTGCAGCTGATCAAAAGCCAGTTTTCCCAGAGACTCAATCATCTTCCTGCTCTCTGGACTCCAGTGTGGATCTGTTTCAGCTCCTCCATCATACTTGACCTTCTTCACTTTGGTCTGAACCACCAGGAAGTGGATGTACATCTCAGTCAGGGTTCTGGGCAGCTCTCCTCCCTCTCTGGTCTCCATTACATCCTCCAGAACTGTAGCAGTGATCCAGCAGAAGACGGGGATGTGGCACATGATGTGGAGGCTTCCTGATGTCTTCATGTGGGAGATGATCCTGCTGGCCTCTTTCTTCTCTCTGAATCTCTTCCTGAAGTACTCCTCCTTCTGGGGGTCATTGAACCCTCTGACCTCTGTCACCATGCCAACACACTGAGCAGGGATCTGATTGGCTGCTGCAGGTCGTGTGGTTATCCAGAGGAGAGCAGAGGGAAGCAGTTTCCCCCTGATGAGGTTTGTCAGCAGAACATCCACTGAGCTGGACTCTGTAGCATCAGTCAGGATCTCCTTGTTGTGGAAGTCCAGTGGAAGTCGACTCTCATCCAAGCCATCAAAGATGAACAGAACCTGGAAGTGTTCGAAGCTGCAGATTTCTTTGGTTTCATTAAAGAAGTGATGAATCAGTTCCACCAAGCTGAACTTTTTCTCTTTCAGCAGATTCAGCTCTCTGAATGTGAATGGAAATATGAACTGGATGTTCTGGTGGGCTTTGCCTTCAGCCCAGTCCAGAGTGAACTTCTGTGTTAAGACTGTTTTCCCAATGCCAGCCACTCCCTTTGTCATCACTGTTCTGATTGGTTGATCTCTTCCAGGTGGGACTTTAAAGATGTCTTCTTGTCTGATTGTTGTTTCTGGTCTGTGTTGTTTCCTGGATGCTGTTTCAATCTGTCTGACCTCATGTTCATCATTGACCTCTCCAGTCCCTCCCTCTGTGATGAAGAGCTCTGTGTAGATCTGGTTCAGAAGGGTTGGACTTCCTGCTTTAGTGATTCCTTCAAACACACTGGAACTTCTTCTTCAGACCAGATTGAAGTTGGCGTTTACAAACTACTGCAAGATGTTCTAAATTAACACAAATAACACGAGGAAGGAAACAGTCATTCTCTGAAGAGTATTTGAACAATTGGTATCATCATTAGATATTAGTAATTGTTTTTGAAATATACATCAGGTTAAATATTTGTAGAAATACTCTTACTGGTCTGCAGATGGTCAGCCAGCTCCTCCTGCTTCATCCTCCTTAGGAACTTTAGGGTGATCTTCATCACTGCCTCTCTTGTATCCCATCTCTGCACTTCATCTTCATCTTCCAACGCGTGCTCATCATCTCTCTGACTATCTGGGCATTTTGGATCATCTGGACTCAACATTTTCTGGATCTTCTTCAACTCGTTCTTCAGAAAAGCGGCAATGTTGTCCTCCAGCAGCTGGAACAGAATAATATATGAAGAACACATCAGACCTAAAATTATGGCCAAACATCAGATTCATATTGAACTGATTGACAGTCTATTTGTTCACATATTACAACATGGATAAGATGAAACAGAGCCTAGGAAAAAGTAGTTGTTGAACATGTACAGACCATAAATATGGAGTCAACTTGTGTTTGGTGCTGCTGTGCAGATAGACCACCGAAACCCTCTGAGCTCTGCAGATCCACTCTGGGGAGCATGCATAAAAATACACTCAAAGCTTTTCTGTCCACACAGAGACAATCTCATTAGGTCCCATCAAATAAAGGCAAACATTATGCAGTGAAATGTGGAATGGAAAATGGGTAACACTTTATTTGAAGGGTTGTGAATAAATAGTGTCATGATAGATGACACCATCATAAACATGACATAACCCCTGTCATGAACATGAGTAAGTTTTCATGAATATTTATGACTGTTGTCATAAAGTGTCATTCAGCAAATCATCACACTTAATACAAAGTTGACAGCATTCAAAATGTCTTTGTTATGACAACTTGACATTAACCAAGGCGTCATAATATGACATAAAATTGTTATAAAAGTTTTACTGATTAAACTTTAGGTTTAATAACATACAGCTACATAATTTTAAAGTTTAATCAGTGACACTTTTAGAACAAATTTATGTCAGATTATGATTTCTTGGTTAAATGTTAAGTTGTCATAACAATGACATTTTGAATAATGTCAACTTTGTATTAAGTGTCATGATTTACCCATTTTCCATTCTGGTTTCACTTGTTCACTTGTTTAAAATAAAACTCAAACTGTTTTATATTTAGAGATATGGGAAAAAAGAGATGAACTCAGATTAAAACATGTTGGAGTAAAAGCATTTCAGACTGACTCAGTTTACACAGCGACAGCGGTCAGATTCAGCTCACCTGTCTGTTTCTAAGGGTTGGTCTGGTTGAAATTTAACAGGAAGATCTTTGGACCAGTCACTCTTAAAGGACACACAACTGGGTTCAGTTTCAGGTTCAAGTCTCTGATGGATCCTGAATGGAAAAAAGTCCTTGCATTTAAAATGTTTCTGTGAACTTCAATTTTAAGACTTGAAGTAATTGTATTTTCAAACAATGCCTGAAAATAAAGAAGCTGCTTCAAAAGAAAATTTAAAAGTATAAATTTTGAGAATTTGTTTTTATAATTTCTCAGTTAATTTAGCTGACTATGGTTTCTTTCATGTCTATTTACATTTTGATAGAGAACAATCTGCACTAAATGAAGAAGATCGTAGATTTTCTTGAATGTGTCTGATGACAAAGATAAACACTCCAAATTAGAATATCCCAATTAAAACAGCTCTGGATTAGACCAGTTGTGAAAAACAACTGTAAGTCTACAGATGTTTTTCATCTGCAGAATTACAGATGAAGGTCTGTAAACGGGACCTAAATCTTAACACAATGAAGATAGTGTAATTCTGAAATATGAACTAAAAACAAACATGTCTGCATATTAGACTTGAGGTCTAATATGCATAAGTAGATGTGTGACAATAGAGCAGACCATTCCACAGATTTCATATATTTTGAGACATACAGCTCACCTGTCTGTTTCTGAATGTTGGGCTGGTTTAAATTTAACAGGAAGATCTTTGGACCAGTCAGTCTTACATGATACACAACTGGGTTCAGGTTCAGGATTGAGTCTCTGATCATTCCTGAAAGAAAAAAATATAATTGAAAACCGTTCAGTGACATTCAATTCAATATTCTAAAAATATTTTGTTTTAACAATACTGGTAAAATACATACCTGCCTCAAAAACCAACATCTGAAGTATATATATTTTTTATTTGCCTGGGATATAAATTGATATTTAACTTTACAGACAACATGCCCTTTTATCCAGGTTTATTTAAAAACATTTTTTTTTTAATCTGAACATCTTCCTTTAAAATGTTTAAAACTTTCCTCCATTATATTGCTCTCAATGGAAATACAGCTAGGCTCTGGTTTTGGGTCAATGTCAGTATTACCACTGTGAATAAAAACAGTTTGTATTTCTGAAACCCTATCATTCAATGTTGGTCTGTTATTATGTTTTGGAACTGTGTTTGTAACAAACTGAGGTGAAACCAAAGCTAATTTACTTCTAATTAGCAGAGGTTGTTCTAAGTGCCTGATCAATAATGGTTCTAATTTAGATCCTCACTCTAGTAAATTAGTTTCATAACAACACATTTGTGTATGGTACAGTTTATTGTAGTTTCTCTCATAACTGAGATAATACCATTAAAGTAAAAATAAACTTTGACTTGATAAAAATTATGTGAAAAATGTTAAGTTCATTACAAACTATACAAAAAAAGCAGATTCAGATTTCATATGTTGTGAGATATAGATTACCTCTCAGTTGATGAAGGCCGAGCTGCTTTAAATTTAACAGGAAGATCCTTGGACCATTCACTTTTAAAGGACACACAGCTGGGCTCAGGTTCAGGGTTGAGTCTTTGATGGATCCTGATCGAAAAATATTATTTATATCTTTCAATGAAAATCAATTTCAATTACATGTTCAAGCAATACCTATAAAATAATATTCTGCCTCAAAAAATTACATCTAAATATGAGAAAAGGTGATTTTCTGCTTCTGGAACACATGTAATAAATTCATGTCCTCTTATATATCATCCAGGTTATAAGAGGACATGGATGAACATCTTTCTTTAGAACTGGATGAATCTTCCTCCAGTCTGTTACTCTCCATGGACAGATAGCTCAGCTGTGGTTCCAGTCCAGATCCAGATTCATGACTGTAACAATTTGATGATGTCAGTGTTGAGCTCTTCTATGGAGAACAATCATTATCACTGTTTACTGAGGAACAGCTGGAGCTTCATCTAATGTTGGTGCTGTGTTTGGAACCTACTGTGGTGAAATCAAAGCTGATACGCTGCTGGGCCCAGACATTGTTATTTCCTCCTGGTCAGTGACATTTTTTCAATTGTAACCATGATAACTTATTAAATTATATTGGGATGGCTGACAGTTTGCTTTAATGACACAATGCATACTAACACTAAAGCTGCTCTGGTAGTGACAAACTTCACATTTATTGTGTGAATGCTGTGTGAAAAGGGCTGTGGACTCTTAGAAATGGTGACCTCACCTCTGACCTTTGCTCTGGCTCTCATCTTCCCCACACAGAGAGGTTTTAGAGGGAGGGTCTCCCTCCTTTCTGTCCTCACACTGAACCATGCTGCTGATTTCACTTCCACATCAGTTCACACACACTTTGTACCTTCACCTGAAGAGGAAACACAAATTATCTGCACATCACCTCTAATCATCCTTCACATATGTGTTAAAAAATCTTAGTTTCTCTTGACTTTCCTATCAAAGACTGTAACCAGCTCTTAAACTTATCCCTGCTGAAAGGGGTGAACAACCAGGTCAACAGTCTCTGACTCATCACGACCTTTTTACACAGCTTTGCGTTTTCGTCTTGGTTGTGTTTTCATTGAGCACAGACCATCAGATCAATCAGGTTTTCACACATTTTTCTCATTCTGTCATCCTAAATGTTATCAAAATTGAGAAGCTGTGTTTTACAGGCAGTGGTACAATAACAGATTTCTTAGGTCATTCTCATATTTAATATCTCCACCTGGCACAGTTCCATTAAAACGAAACAAAAACAAAAATATCCCATGTCATTAACCAGGCAGTCACTCGGATGACCAGTCACATTCCCTTCAGTGTTTTTCCAGCTTTTTCTCTCTGGGAGATGTAATAAAGCTCCCAGAGCCAGGAAAATCATTTACAAAAAATCTCTCATCCCTAAACGTATTAAACAAGGACGGCATAGTTGCTTTATCTTAATTTTAATCTATTTTTTTGTTTAAAAGTGGGTTACATTGTTTTTTTTTATCGTCAAAGAGTGTTTTAAACACTGAGTTCTGGTATAAAAGAATTTCTGTCACCTTTGGGGCGGACTGGAAAGTTTTTTTTATCCATCTTATCTAACAAAACAACTTTAGAAGGTAATAAAAGATCAAAGTTCACAATATTCTGATTGGATCAGAAAGGAAGAGCAGTAAATGTTGGATTTTATTGAACGAGGTTCTGAGGCGACAGCAACTTTTAAGTCCAAAGTCCAAAAAAATAAAGTGGCATCAGATGATAAGAGCGGATGTGGATGAAAGCATTAACTGATTGATGGTTCTGTTCACTATTTTAACATTCAGTGAGTCCAGAGCATCACGTTCTCTCAGCATCAATCCAAGTGAATGACTTCCTGTTGACACATGCACAGACTCCTCTGGTTCATCAGTTGGAGGTGAAGCTGCAGTGAAACACTTTGAATGAAGAGTTTCTCAGAGTTGTGTTTGAAGGAAGATCTGAACATGTTGAAGTGGAGAACAGATCTGAAAGCAAATCTCTGCCTCTACTTCAAACAGCTCTCATTAGATCTGATTGGTTAGTTTAGTCTGAAGGCCCGAACACAGGGGTGCCCAAAGTGGGTCCTCGAGGGCCGGCATCCTGTTCTTGGTTTAACACACCTGGATCATTAGAGAAGGTTGTTCCTCCCACCAGGAGAGAACTAAAACAAGCAGGACCAACTTTGGGCATCCCTGCCCTAACAGATCCATTTTTTCATGTCAATCCCTTCTTTGCCTTAAATATTAATTTAAGAAAAACAAAATGTTTTTATTTTTTTATTTTTTCATCTTCTCAAACTTCATTTAAAAAAAAAATCCTAATTCAATATTCTCCCTTCATGGGTCGACACTGGAACAACAAACTGATCACTTTGGAAGAAATCAATAATTAGGTGTGACTGTTCAAAATAATAATGGTTTTACTGGTGGATGTATGAGACTCAGTGTGACTATCACCTGCCTCAACTGCATCTGGAAATATCTGTTCTTTGAATCTAAAATGTTGCACCTGAGGAAGTTTAAAGCTTTTCTGTTTCTAGCCTGATTTAATTCGCCTTCAGCTGTTATTCAAATCTGCTCTCTGAACAGCAGCTGCCATAAACAACAGCAAGGAGAAATATGAGAGAAAAACATCACAAGTTCTGCTTCAAGCTCTCTCCACATGTATCAACTGGACCTTTATTCTTAAAGGGACAGAAACAAGTTAAGATGACTCACAATATTTAAATATCTGCATTACGTCTTAAGATACGGTTCAGTTTTCAATTAGATCTTTGTTCGTTTAGTGCAGAGCCTTTAAAACATATGTTTTCTCATAGAGTCCAAGATCTTTGGTTGGAGGTCAAAATGTGGTTTAACTCAAAATCAGGGACATTCGTCTGTTTAAGAACCTCAGGTTTAGATTTTAGACGAATCAGCTAAAGCCATGAAACTTTAAGTTCTTCTTATCTAAATTTCACAATTATCAGATGTTCATAGTGTTGCTTGATTTCTGTTAATAATTTAACAATCCTTTAGATTATTATTCAAACTTCAGAGCGAGGAAACTAATAGAAACATTCCTAAAGACAAAGTTTATGTAGGAAACAAAGCAAACTTACAGCTTGTTCAAAGCTCCTAAGAGTTGAAGACGGACATCTGGACAAAAAACTGTGATACATTGGACCTGCGTCTGAGTACGAGGGAGCTTTACCTGTGATGGAGGCCGGACAGGTAGGAGGGTGGGGCAGCAGGAGGAGCGACAGTGGAAATCCAGGAAGTCTTAAGTCTCTTCAGTCTTTCCAGGTCCTTATTATGATCCTGTTAACGCTTTGGGTTCCTGTTTTGATCATATCCTCGTTGTTGATTAACTGTCTTAAATTTTCCATTATATATCTGGCTGTCTGTTCAGGACTTGAACAGAGAAAAAGTAAATAATAATGGAAGTAGTACTCACACTGATATAGTGAATCATTAAGTAAGGTATTAACAAATGCTGTGTATCTACTTAAAGGGGATTCTGAAAGAACATTCTGAGTTGCTGAAGGTTTTTTAGCTGATCAAAGTCTGAATTTTAGTGAATGTGTAGCCAGAGCGAGGATATTCTTGGCAGGTGAAAGTAAAACTTTAAGGATTTAGTCAACCCAATGTTGACTAAACATGGGATTTAGTAAATATCTTATGTGCTTATTAATATCAGATTTTGCAGAAACATAATCAAAGTAAAGGAAAATGTTTTGAAGTCACATTAAAAACTCATCTATCTGGATGCTAAACTGTTCGCTACGTCTTCAACAGTTGACCACTGTTTTTATTTATTGCAGTTAGCGTTTAAGTTAATGCTCCAGTCAAACACAGCCATGCTGCTTGGAAAGCAAAAGCATTGCAGGTGAGCTGCAGATCGATTGATAAGAAGAAATGATAAGAAGAAACCACAGAAGTAGAGAAACATTCGAGGCTGTTTTTGCTCAGCAATGGGAACCTGAACCTCCGTACTGTCACAAATATATTTCCTCAAACAAGTGAAAATATATGAATGCATGTTGTTTTTATTAATGAAATGTTAATGTATGCATTAAATAACATTCTGAATTTTAAAATATATGCATTTTGTTCAATTTATTTCTGCTCAATGTTTTATGCTGCCTGTCAAAAAAACTTCCTGCCACATGTCTCACCACACTGATAATGAACTATAGAGGCAAAAACCTTTTGGTGCAGAAAACTGCTTGAAACTGAGTTTGACGTGTATGTTGTGTCCAGTTAGGCTGGCGCCGTTCATTACCTCATCAACTTTAGGCAATAAAATAAATAAAAGAATCAGCAAAACTCAAGATTTAGTGCCTGGAGGACAAAGCAGGAAGACGTCTGTGGGAAGGTAGGAACTGACTGCTGGGGAAATGTCCTGTTGATCGGGTCAGTGATTGTTTTAAGTGATGATGTGTAAGTCAGAAACAAAATGAGACATTTTTCAGACTGTAACACAAAAATAAATAAGATTCATTTGAACCTTTTTAAGAAAATTTGAGTGTAAAATGTATCTTGAACATGTTAAGCCAGTTAAATTCACACGGAATTTAAAAGCCACAATCCTACAGTGTTTGTGTTCTGGTTTTAGTTTGTTTATATTTTGAATATGTATTTTGTTACAGCTGAGATTTAACACTTTTGGTTCATTTCTTGACATGCAATTACTTTTTCCTCACTTTTTATTCTTATTTTTACATTATTATAAATTTGAATACTTCCTCCACAGCTCCCTTCATGTTGTTGGTCTCCTTCACTCAGCCTGCCTGTTTGCCCCCATATCCATCTATCAAATTATACTAAAAACTAAACTGAAACAAATTATTCTCTAAATACAACCATCAACATGAATAGAAACATTTGATTTATTCATTCTTACAACATGAAGCACCAATTTCAATGAAGAACTTTTATTTTATCTATTTGTATTGCTGAAGCATTTAATATTTTTTATTACTATGATTAATTCATTTGAACTCAAAGAAGTTTTATTATTCATGTACATTAAGAATCTGGAAGAGTCTCATTTGGAACTAGTGGAATATGAATTATGTTACACTCTTTATTATTTCACTTTTTATATCAGATCTCGTCCTAAAATTTGTTCATTTTCCACTTATTTCATTTCCAGTTTCAGTTCACAAACAACATCTGTAACTTATTTTTAACTATCTGGATTTATGTCTGTGAGAAACGTCTGCGACTTGTTTTTATCCTTTCTGTTCATTTATCTTTGATGCAACATGTTCTGATCTCAGAAACCAACACAGCAGATGGATCATGCTGATGTTATTTATCTGCTCATGTGGCTCAACGTTCGGGTTTGCCTTCCTGTCACAGTTCTGGTCATCGGGTTGTGCTGCATGGTAGATATCAACATTCATATTAAGCTCAGTTTTTGTGTTTCTCTGTGTCTACACACTCTCTAAATTAACCTGTTATATCAAAGAGTTTATTATTCCATGAACTCTAAAATGTTTTGAAGAATTTTGAAACACTTTAGAAACTGGCCCACAGCATCACAGACCTTCTCTATAATTGTAGTAATATCATATATGATTGGGATATAATATTTATAAGACTGTTTTTCCTGCAGGTACGACTGGAAAACATTCCTGTCATCAAGTACATGAACCTTCTGGTCTCCAATCTGATCCAGTTCGGCTCCATGATCGTCTGGTTGGCACAAAAGGATGAACGAGAGATCCCCGTCTTGTGTGTGGCCGTGTATTACTGCAGCGTGATGGCCAGTCTGGGCTTCCGGGTCTGCATCACTCTGGAGAGGTATCAGTGGCTCCTCTGGGTTTTGAAGCAGGGACAGTTTCTGTGTAGTGATAAATGTCTCTCTGTCTCCTGTTGCAGGTATTTTGTAATTGTCCCTCCAAAGCGGCGGTGCATCAGACAACCTATAAGTTCTGCATTGATTTGCTTTATGATGTGGAGCGTTTGTTTAACATTTGTTCCGTTTCTGAGGGCCAGTGAATATGTTTTACCCATCTTTGTTTTTTGTAGTTTTTGCTCTGGCCATCGTCTCGGTCCCCGTCATGGTTTTCTGTCTCGCTCGGAGCATCAGATCACTTCCTGCTGCCACCTCCGTGTCCCCAGAGGAGAAACGCAGAGTTGTGGGGGTTTTGGTTTTCTTAGTGGTCAGTTACACTGAGATGATCGTCTCCACAGACGTTTGGTCTGTTTTAGTCACCAGATCTTTTTTATTCTATCTGTCTGACTTCAAAGTGATAGTTCATACTTTCTTACTGAATCCGTTTGTGGACCTGGTTCTGTTTGTTTTCATGTGTAAAGGTCCCATTGATAAGCTGTTGGGACATCTGTGCTGCTGCAGCATGAAAGACACTGCAGATAAAGGAGTAGAGGAGATTTATGAGAGGGAATGATGATGAACACATTCAGAGATTGAAAGCATGTTAGGAGGCAGCATTTAAAAAGATAAACCACTAAAAACCAGAACTTTAAAAGTCTTCTACAGCACCATACAGTAGCCAGAAGTCTTTGTTTTCTGTCATTTAATGTTTAAATGACAAAAAATAAAATAAAAATAAAATAAAACACAAAAAACTTTCTTTTGAGTTGTACGTTTTGGTTTATCTGCCAATGCAGCAAATATGACAACATGTGAAAATGTCCAACAGCTACTGATGTAAATCTGCTTCTCCTGGTTCACCAGCAAATGCAACTGACTAAACTATAACTCAGTAAGTAGTACTTTCTTTACTTGCTAGCCTGAAGACATGTAATCATTTATGACTTTTCATGGCTAATATTTCTGTCAGAGTTGCTTCTGTTGGATGTTTACATTGTAATAAGGAACTAGATGCTCCAACATGGGAATATTGGATCAGAAAATAACCTTAAAACTTTAAATCAGACCAGTTCATCTATATGATCTCCATGTGATTCTCATGATTCCTTTGATAAATGTTAAATGTGTTACAATCAGATGAACATGCATTTATTTCCTCCAGACGATCAGAGACATGCTCTGTCAACATATTGCTAACAGCTTTAGCATGTCATTCATGATGTTATTAATGGTGTCACTGTAAAAAGTGAATGTCTGTAGAAAACAATTTTTTTCACTCAAACATGTGCTTTTGTACAATTCATAAAGACATTTAATAGAGAGTTATGAATGTAACAGAGGCTTTGGACGCAATTAGATTCTTACGCAGACATTTGACAGAACTTAAAATAAAATGAAAAACTGTGAGCTTAGAGCGCCCTCTACTGGAAGATATTTTTACAACTGCATGTTTTCCATAACCTGATGCATCTGTGAACACATCTGAACAATTCTGCTTTTTGATGGAATAATTATTTAATAAAAATGTCATATTTTATTTGTTGTTTGTCATTATTGAATTATACTCCCCTTTGTAAAATGTTTTCAAATTTATTGCTAAGACTTAATAAATTGTCCTCCATTGTTCAACTGTAATAATAAGCCTTTCTTTAGTTCTATTGAGGGAATAAAATTTAACAAAGAAATTTACATACGTTTCAAGGTGGAGACTCCTGCACAGTAACGGCTTGTTTTCTCAGATTCAATTTATTTCTGCTGCTGGTGATTTACTGCATCATGATTCTCCCAGTAACAACAGAATAAGCTTGATCATCATATTGGTGGGTTTGAAAGTTAAGAAATGTTAAGTCTGTAAAAACAAAAATGTGTTTGGTGGTTTATTTTGTACAAAAATATTAAATGTAGCTGTTTTATAAAATATGCTGATCTGCATAAACCTATAAACTGTCTATCATATCTTGCTATGACATGTGCTTTATAATACTTTCCTCATTATTTCTTTTGCTCAGTGGTGTGATAATTATTTAGTAAGCTTGTATTTTTGTTTTGTTTTTAGATCTTTGGTCTTTATTTAGCAGTTGTCAGACAGGGGAAAACATGCAGCAAAGGTCATGGGGTCATGACTGGAACTTGTGATAAATGTATTGAAATAATTTTCTGAAATAAAATTTAAAATGGGATGATGCAAGTTCACATGAAGTTACTGTATCACTTGCAATAATCCAGAAGTTTACATACACAGAATAAAAAGACAGAATAAAATGTTATTTTCTCACATTTTCTGTTTCTCACCAGCTAAATCAGAATTACCAGGATT